TTTGATTGTTATTTTGGCTTTACACGCCCATGACATCACATTCTTCTTTAAAACGGTCTTTGAACTCTTGTTGCAATAATTATGACGCACCCTGTATAGTCTACATATTTTTAAGCACCTTTTACGAAGAGTTTTGGGAAAAATTTAACTTTTAGTTAGCGTCAAATTAACGTTACGCGGTGCCGCTCTACTAGGTTGAGGAAAAAGTCCTGAATAAGCTGCGAAAAATTCAATTTTTATGCTCACTTTAATCACAAAAATAATAGGAACTATTCCATAAAGTATAGCCCATCATTATCTATGACTTTCATTATTTCAAAGCACTATTTCAAAGCACCTTTACCATCTTGCAACTTTTGATTGACTTACAACCGTCTTCTTCGTGTGAGCGGGAGGCAATTAGGCAAGAATAAAGAAAATAGGACGCAACACAACAAAAAAGGGGGCAAAAAAATAAGAAAGCTGTTTGGAAAACGGTCTTTGAACTCTTGTTGCAATAATTATGACGCATCCTGTATAATAAAACAATCAATTACCTTTTGTATTGCTAATTTTCGTTCTAGGGAATTTAGCCCGTTAACTGAATACCTTTAACGTTGTTTCCTTTATTAAGTGTTCATTGCGAGAATTTCGCCTCTTTTCCATTCATTAAAAGGAAAACACTTCTTACAATTTGAATAAAACTATTGTTTTCAAGTTTATTGATTAAATTGTACATTAATTTGAGAAAAGTTTGTCGATCTTTGATCAGATATTACGATCAATTAAGAAAGAATCATCTCCTCCTCGAATAAAAAATTGGAAAGTATACAGTCCTCCCAAAAACCAACTTTATTCAATATACCTGACAAATTGCGGTGGTAACCACTGGAGAGAGAGAACCACAACCACAGGCCCACGCCGATTTTAGCTGATAGCTTTGCTAAATCAACGAATTTGATGATTGAACTGACTTGTCTGCTTGATAGCTTTAGATTGTTCTTGATCTACAAAATTAAATAGAAAAATAGATGGCGGTCAACTGGCATTGCTTCGGATCTAGTTTGACAAAAATGTGGCCTGGGTCTGATCCTAATTTGGATTAATCTGGTCTTAAGGTAGTAAGGCATAAGCCCCTACACTGGCGGCAAGGTTTGGTGTAGCTCATTAGTAGATTGGTAGCTAATTGGTTCGCCCGGTAAGCGAAAGGTCGTGAGTTCAAATCCCGACGCCGACCAGGTTTTGTATTTCCAGCCCCAACCCAAAAAAGGCCGGCTTTCCAACTCAGGTTCAAGTTCTGAATCTTTCTGAATCTAGCTCAGGTTCTGAATCTCTCTGAATCTAGCGAACGTCTGAATCTTTCTGAATCTAGCTCAGGTTCTGAATCTCTCTGAATCTAGCTCAGGTTCTGAATCTCTCTGAATCTAGCCTGGTTCTGAATCTTTCTGAATCTAGCTCAGTTTCTGAATCTGGTTTTGGTCGGTAAACTCCTGGACCATCCTTGCTAAAACTCGATCATCTAATGTCAACGAGAGTTCACTAAAGCCTGACTCGAATAAAACCTTAAAATCTTGGAAATTCCCAAATCTTAAACACAATATGAGTTTGGGGATCGACAAAGCAGCCAACCGAACACAACAAAATGCTTTTAGCGGTCTTTTAATTGTGTTTTGTACTTGAATCAAATCACTCACATGTCCATAAGTTGAAAGCCTCGTGCGCCGTTTCCCACAAAACTTACAATCCGCCGAGCATTCGACCGTCGTCTAAAAAGAAATAAGTCCGCTTTAGATTTTAATCCTTGAAACATCTAAAAGCTTGCTCATTCAAAAATTATTCTTTTTTTTTGATTCAGTTTACGTTCTCGCCACGTACTGGCGAAGCAGCATTTTCCCAATTTCGCCACCTTTAGTGACCACCCTCAAGTCCCGAATCCGATAAATTTAAGGAACACACTCTAGTAGTTATCCCAAATGCAGAGCAATGTAACGCACCGTTGAAATTAAACTACGGTTTGGCTTGCACATAAACTGCAGCCATTAAAAACGCTTATTTCCTTTCATTGACCAGCATCATCATCCACAAAATAATGACTTTCAAGAAATAATGATCATTGACTTATGCTTAAGTTAAGAATTAGAAGTTCTGTTATGGGATTAAGTAGTTTAGGTTAGATTTTCAATAGGATTCGTTTCTGGATTTCCAATAGGATTTCCAATAGGATTTCGTTTTGTGATTGATTGCTTGGATTGTTTGAATAAACCAGTATATACTTTTTTTTGCTTACCAAATTGCCGTTATGTTTTTGTCCATTCTCCTGAGAATCCACATAGCATTTGATTGAGGCAGAAATTGGAAAATAAAGGAAAACAATCAATAGGGTAAGTTTCATTTTGTTTTTTGAAAATCTGAAAGTTTTCTTTCATAAAAGTTTTGCCGATAGTTGTGAAAATCAGATTATCGAGCTTTGATAAAGAGGACTGATTCAAAAAAAAATTACGCTAATTCTTTGGAAAATAGAAATGTGTGCTGGGTGAAAATTAAAGCTGATAAGATGGTTTTGAAAGGGTCACTTTTTCGGCTTTGCTTTTAATGTGCTTTTAATGTTTTTAGTGTGTTTGACTTGTTTGAGACTGGAAAAATGATTCTGAATGGTACGGGCTGATACAAATAATAGCGCTTTTACATTATCCACTACGCTGTGTGCTTAACTTCAATGAAAATTGAGTTCTGACATGGTCTGGGTCTAGAAGAACTATTAAGGCCGAGACTTAGAGCTTGTCTGGCTTAGAAGACTGGTTGCTTTAGCTATTTAGCACACCTTTGACAGGTACAGGCACACCTTTGACAGGTAAAATTGATTTCTGACGTGGCTTAGCCTGGGCTGGTTCCAAAAGAACTGATAAGACCAGTGCTTGGATCAGCACTATTTTAAATAAACTTTCTTCACTGTGGGTCTGATGCGCTCGAGTCTATTTGAGTTGAAGATTTGAGATCTCCTCAAGTGACAAATGATATCTGATCAGACTTAAAGCAAAGCTTTTGCAGTGTTATTGAAATCCTTTCAATGTGTATTCTGTAAGTGTAGTGTCAGTGTATTCTGTAAGCCTTAAGTGTACAGTTTGCAGCACTTTACATCAAGCTGACAATGAGACTGAGCGTAGAATGAGTGGACGAGATTTTGAAAAAGTTTGTGAAATAAGCTATTTATGCTTTTTTCTGAATTAACACATTCGCTAAAAAGCTTTTGGGCGTTGCTAAGTGTTTTACTGATAACTTGATGTAAATTCAAAGCTAAACTAAACTATTATAGTCATTCGATAGCCCTAAATCTCCTCTTGAAAACTATTACAAAGTTGCCGAGAACTTTCTCTGAAATAATTAACAAAAGCTTTCAAAAAGCTGACAACAAAAATAATCGTCATTAGTACGGCGCTTATGTGTTAAAATTGCCATTCCTAGCATACCGAAATGCCATTGTGCCATTTATTTTTGTAAATTTCTATCAACTCTTAGCATTATATTTTAAATTTATTTACACTGAAACTCAATCTTCGAAAGAATCAGTTTTATTACGATGGATACTATACTCTTCATGGTAGATCACTCAATGTCCTTTGTAATTGATCCACACTGAACGCTAGAGGCCATAATAAGCAGCATTGTCTAAACATAATCATGCAAAAACAAAAGCAAAAGCGGCCCGCCCCTTTTCCCATTGGCAATCTAACTTTCAGTTCAAATAGGCGATACGCCGTGTAGAGGGTGTTTGCCGAAACTAGCAACGAATTTCCCAAGATTAACGGAGTGAAGAAAGAGTTGATTCCTGAAAGATTTCTGTTCCTGAAGCTTTGCAAGAGTTGAAATGCGACACCAGTACAACTTTCTAAACAAACCATCAAAGCCCAACGCTAGTCCGAACAAGTTCAGCACATAGATGCTCATCCAAATGAAAGCGACCGTCGTGCGAAATGGCGTAAATGGTAAGCGCCTAAATTCTGATTGTGATTCTTGACTGGTTATCGGACATTTGATAGGCGCCTCGCCCCTTTTCCCATTGACAATCTAACTTTGAGCTCAAATATCTTGGTGTTATGCTGTCTAATTTAAATCTTCTTGATATTATTGGATGTGCGAAGGCTTTCTCTCTTGATTGGTACCAAGAATATTTAAATTGAACAGCCCAACATCAAGATATTTGAGCCAGATTGCCAATGGTAAAAGGGGCGGGCCGCTTTTGCTTTTGCTTTTGCATGATTATGTTTAGACAATGCTGCTTAACATGGCCCCTATTGTTCTGTGTGGACCAAATAACCTGTAGGCCAAGCCAAGCTGAAACCCGGCCAGAAACAAACAAAAATAAAGTCTACTATTTAACAATTTTAATTTTCAGAATTATGAAAAGTGTCAAATCGAGAAATTTTGGTAGATAAATGTTGGCGAGAATTAGGGCTATAACTCTCTATGACGTACGAAAAAGAATGAGAAGACTTTCTGGACAGCCTAATAGGAATCTTATAACTCTTTAAAAGTATAGCTTACTCGTGAATTGTATTAGATTTGAAGTGTAATCAAGCTCTGCCTTGATTAGAGCTTTGCTTTGAATCAAGCTTTGAATCAAGCAAGCTTTGATTAGAGGCTTGAGAATTTCTTCGGCTTCATCAAAGACAGTGTTTTGGATTGGGATGAATTGGGAAATTGGGCGAACACAGCCACAATCACAAAGACCACAATCACAATCGATTTTTGCATTACCTAAACAGTTTATGATTACTTTTTAAAGCTTTGTAGCTTTACGGAGATTTCATAAAGCCAAAAAATTGAAAGAAAAAATCATGCAAAAGTTAAACATTTGTACATATCATTTTGGTTGTTGAAGGCTTTTTCAGAATTGAGTAGGTGACGTTTCGATCTTTTGAAAAACCACTACTTTATGTTTGAATGAATCGCATAGAAAAGGGATTTGTAGAAATTGTTCATGCTGTGGAAAAACTCCGCAGTAAAGTCATTTATTGCATTTATTTGCGTCTTCTAGCGTGCTCAGCGTACTCCTCGTGGATGATTTTCCATTGACCGTCTTTGTTTTGTGACCAGATTGCCTTGTAGGGTCCAGAGTACTCGATTTCATCTAAAACTGAGCCATTGGTAAACTAAAAGTGAGTTATTGATAGTGTTCAGACTTTAGGAAATTAACTTAAAGATCCACATAATCTTTTGGATCTTTTGGATGATTTGAAAAAGAAACTATATGTTGATAAAGTAAATAAACCCACCAGTGACTACTTTCCATGTGTTCTCGTATTGAAGAACGGGAGCGGATCCAGTGAAAGATTCCTAGAATAAATTTTATCGAGTATTTAGCAAATAATGTTATTTATAGCACTTTTACATTTCAAATCTACAGTGCTATATTTTAGAACCTTGATATCTATTGAGTTGGTGAATTGAAAACTGCGGGCTATTGTCATATGTCACAGTTTGGGCACTTTCTTCAAAAGAAACCCATTTTGGTGTCAATGGAAAAGTTGTAGAGAATCAAAAATCAAGCTTATATCCAAATTTCCAAAAAAATGCACTTCGTAGCTTCGCTTAAAATTTCTGTGTTCTGTGCGGCCGCGTAATCGCTCGTCGTCTGGCGCAGGGCTTTTACATAACCCCCTTCCCTCTCCCTTTTCCAAACTAATCTCGCCGGCTCCGAATCCTCAAATTGGACATTGACTTCTCCTCTAATCAGGGCCAATCTCAATCTATTGGATTGGTGAATTGAAAAGTACGTGCTATTTTCATATGTCACAGTTTGGGCACTTTCTTCAAAAGAAACCCATTTTGGTGTCAATGGAAAAGTTGTAGAGAATCAAAAATTAGGCTTATATCCAAATTTTCAGAACGACTCAAAAACTGGTTTTCAAGAAATGCTAAATTTACGAATTTTCACAAAACTTGCAACAAAACTAGCATTTTAAGCGAAACTACTAAGTGTATCTTTTTGGAAATTTGGATATAAGCTTAATTTTTGATTCTCTACAACTTCTCTATTGACACCAAAATGGGTTTCTTTTGAAGAAAGTGCTCAAACTGGGACATCTCCAGTCCTCCATTTTTGAGTTTTCAATTCACCAATCCAATAGATTGAGATTGGACCGGATTTGAGGGGAAGTCAATGTCCAATTTGAGGATTCGGAGCCGGACAGATTAGCTCCGGAAAGAGAGAGGGAAGGGGTTATGCAAAGGCTCTGCGCCAGACGACGAGCGATTACGCAGCCGCACAAAGAACGCACAGAACACAGAAATTTTAAGCGAAACTAGTTTTTCTTTTTGCAAATCTTGGCTATAAGCCTAATTTTTGATTCTCTACAGCTTTTCTATTGACACCAAAATGGGGATTCAGGGCTTGCGAACAGTATACAACACTTATTGCCTGAGGCTTGCATTCTTTTTATTTTTGAAAAGATATGCGAGCTCTGATTTCATTTCAATAACCCTAATATTTTCTACAAACTTTGAACTCACAGTGATGAATTCGGACTTGGCCGAGCCGACTTTCTTGCGCGTGTCTTTGATCTCGTCAAAGATTGCTAAAAAGAAGTGATTATAAATTTTAGAATATTCTGAAAAAATATTGAGGAAATTGAGCTTAAAAATTGACCTTTATGTCCAAGGAAAGCCTTGTTTTTGGCAACAACAACAAGAACGGCGTGTGGATCATACAAATCCTTGAGATCATCGTAATTTCCAGCATAGATATACTCTTGATACTTCTAAAAAAAAGAGTTTATTGATTGATTGAAACAAAATACTGATTGAAAATTGCTTGAAAATATCTTAAAATCCATGCAAATTACTTAAAATTACTTAAAAAAAGGGTTACGTTTGGAAAAATTAGAGAAATTCTTGAAAAATGATGTAGCTAAGAGGCCTTTTTTAGAATTCAGCTTTGAAGTGTTTAGTAATATTAATTATAATATTAATTAGTTAATCAATGTTAATTGCATTCACATAATGGCTATTTTTGCAGCTATTTAAAATCAATGAGTTCTGTTGTAAAACTATTAGGTAAATGTCTAAGAAATGCGGATTTTAACATTTTCATAAATTTCCAACGATAGAAACCTGATGTTATAAACTAGAATCGATGAATGTTATAAACTATTTGAAAGCTGTAAATCTCCTCTACAAAATAGGCTAAAACGTGTTTCAATTGATCGAACCATTGAAGAAATTTCGAGGGCGAAATGCGAGTGACCAAAAAAGGGCACTTTTTGAAAAGCCCACTTTGAAAACCCTAAAGTGACTCGATTCCTTTTTTGATCACTCGCATTTCGCCATCGAAATTTCTTCAATGCTTCGATCAATTGAAACGCGTTTTAGCCTATTTTGTAGAGGAGATTTACAGCTTTCAAATAGTTTATAACATGTAACATATAACATTCATCGATATCAGGTTTCTATCTATGGAAATTTATGATTGGAAAATGTTGAAATCCGCATTTCTTAGGCATGTACCTAATAGATGTGATTTCAACATTTGTTTGCCTTTTATTGGCGGGTATTTTAATGTATTAGTGTGCTAAGTTATAAATTTACAAATTTGAAAGCAAAAAATTGTCACCTTAATAAGTGGGGCGAGAGTCAAAGCTGCCTTTGACGTGTCATCAGCCAAAACGGCTACCCCCACGAAGAGAAGACTCAGAATCGCTCTCTGCATCGCCTGAAATCAAAATAATTGTAAGTTTTTTGTTAAAAATTAGATTTTATATAAAAAATAATCAAAACTAATCAAAAACTAATGAAAAATGAATGAAAAATGAATGAAAAATTAAGATTAAAAATCAATTTCCGATCAGGAAAAGGATCATTTTGTTGGATGGTTTATTGACTGATTTATTGTTTTTGAAAACATAAAAAAAGGTCAAGGACTTTCATTTGATCACAAACTAATGGGCTGATCAAAACACGCTGCACATCGGCGCGAAATAAGGCAAAAATGCGTTTTCTATCGGATTTTTCTGGGAGTACCGTTTTTAGATGCGGAAAATGGCTGATTCCGAATCTGAAGGGATTTTTCAAATTTAGGTTTAAGGACTACGGTAGGCTTAAGCTTAGGCTTAGGCTATTCTAGACTTGCTCTAGACTTACTGTAGGCTATTCTAGGCTTGCTTTAGGCCTGCAGCAGACTACGGTAGGCTTAAGCTTAGGTTTAGGCCATTCTAGACTTGCTCTAGTCTTACTGTGGGCTACTGTAGGCTTACTGTAGCTGTAGTTTCAAAATACTGTAGATACGGCAAGTTTCGAGCATTCACCTCATTCAATTTGGTAAGTTCAGTAAGCTCATTGTAATTGTAATCATTGTAAGTTCAGTAAGCTCTTCTCAACTAATGTCCTTTCTAAAAAGTGCCAACCTTTGCGGCAGCTTCCACGGAGTACGGTACTTAAGGATTACCGTGGGGCTTTCATAGAATTGCGGTAATAGAGTTGTCTCGTACTTGTCAGGCAGGCAAAAAAGCAGCGCACACAAAATGCGTTTTCTAAAAAATGTTATAACTTTTTGTAGTGTTGAGCAAATTTGATGATTTTTGCATCAAAATGTTCGTAAGAGTCTCTAGAATAAAACTTATCCCTTCGTTTTTGGTTCTAGACCCTCGTTGTCGAGTCACGAGCCCCAAACTGCAGGGTACCACAAAATTTCCCATACAAAATGACCAAAAAACCGTTAAACCTAAATTTTAAAAATTTCTGTCATAGGGATTTGAAAAATTCCTTCAGATTCGGAATCAGCACAATTTTCCGCATCTAAAAACGGTACTCCCGGAAAAATCCGATAGAAAACGCATTTTCGCGCCGATGTGCGCTGCTTTTTTGCCTGCCTGACAAGTACGAGACAACTCTATTACCGCAATTCTATGAAAGCCACGGTAATGCTTAAGTACCGTACTCCGTGAAAGCTGCCGCAAAGGTTGGCACTTTTTAGAAAGGACACTAGTTGAGAGGAGCTTACTGAACTTACAATGATTACAATTACAATGAGCTTACTGAACTTACCAAATTGAATGAGGTGAATGCTCGAAACTTGCCGTATCTACAGTATTTTGAAACTACAGCTACAGTAAGCCTACAGTAGCCCACAGTAGCCTACAGTAAGTCTAGAGCAAGTCTAGAATAGTCTAAACCTAAGCTCAAGCCTACCGTAGTCTGCTGTAGGCCTAAAGCAAGCCTAGAATAGCCTACAATAAGGCTAGAGCAAGTCTAGAATAGCCTAAACCTAAACTTAAGCCTACCGTAGTCTACAGTAAGCCTAAAGCAAGCCTTGAATGGCTCAAGCCTAAGCGTAACCGAAATGAGGGCTCAGCCGAACCCCAATTAGACTTAGCCTTCGCACTAATTCCAAGCCTACAGTAGCCTGCAGTAGGCCTGGAATACTCATTAACAGCCTACGCAATCCCACAGTAAGCCTAGATGAGACCAAAAAACAGCTGTAAACCTAAAACAGGCTACAGTAAGCCTACAGTACTCCAAGTACGCAACGACCTACAATAGTTTCTTCACTCCACGAGACAAAATTTCAAGTTTAAAAGCATTTAATGATCAAATTTATGATCGGGGAAAGATCGGCGAAAGAAATCCGAAGATTTACAACTTGAGAATCTCTAGAATTTTCTATCAGTTATGGAGAAGACATTGCTATATTGCAAGACCCCTTCTGGATGTAGATTACCCCTTCTGGATGTAGATTTTCGTGAATTAAAAGGAAGAAGGTCGAGAAAAACTGGATTTGAGTGTTTTCCTTTTACAATTTTAAAGTATTCAATCAAATCAATGATAAAGCGGCTTTAAGATTTCAGGAGAAAAGATAGAAAGAAGAGACTTAAATCTAAGTTTCCAAGAGAAGACTTGTTAAAGTCAATTTTTTCTAGAGTGATTTGGGTAAAATCCTTTCAGATCTTTTCTAGTTTTAAAGGAGCTTTAGAGGAGGACGATACAAGTGATGCATTTCCTGTAATTGAGCCCCATCGCTCTAATAGAGCCCCACCTTAGAGGAGGTATGAAAAATACAGGGTGCGTCATAATTATTGCAACAAGATACTCAAGGCATTGCACACCAAGAAGTTTCACTGGAAGAAGATTTTTAAACAGAAATAGCTTTATTTAACAGTAACAAATAAGGAAACAAGAGATCATTCGATATGACCGCCTTTTGCCTTGATAACAGCCCTTAATCGGTTCGGATATGCCTCCACTGCGGCCCGAATGTCATCTTGAGGAGTCGCCTTCCATCCTTTGGTCAAAGACTTCTTCAAAGAATCCAAACTTGTGTGTTTTCGAGAGCAAACATTAGCCTCTAAGATTGCCCAAATGGGAAAGTCCATCACATTGAGATCCGGTGAGTTTGGAGGCCATTCATCCTTGGTGATCACTGAGGGAAAGTTGGCCACACACCAGTCCTGAACCGTCTTCTTCGTGTGAGCGGGAGGCAATTAGAAGAATAAAGAGCGCAGAGATTAGAAGAATAAAGCGGGAGGCAAGAATAAACAAGATAAAACGCAACACAACAAAAAAGGGGGCAAAAAAAAATAAGAAAGCTGTTTGGAAAACGGTCTTTGAACTCTTGTTGCAATAATTATGCACCCTGTAGAGCCTCATGGGGCTCAATTAAAGGAAATACGATAGTCAAGGATTGGACGAAAAGTCAGAACAATCTTGTAAATCTTTGACAAGAATCTGGATTTAAAATTGAAATTATAATCATTTCCTTGGTAAGTCCATTACTTTATACTCATCATCCACTTCAAAGCCTTGCCCTCAAATCGTATCACTAGCAAAAACTCTTAGAACTCAGGAATCTCGTCTAGAAAAAGTTTTCTCGAGCATTTCGATAAAGATCTTATCTCAATTTCGAATCTCTCTAACTTTTTTAGCACTTCCTCGGGAAATGATCACAACTTTCATATAAAATTTATTGCTTGGATGTTTCAAAATGACACGAGTCTATTGACGATCATCCTCACCATCGGAATCAGTTCCATCATCTTTTTTAGTCTCATCGTCATTCAGCTCTTTCTTGTTGACTCGTTGATCATATTCCTCATGGTAGATCACATATCGTCCATGGTATTTAATCCAGATGGCACGGTATGGACCATAGAGATCTTTTCCATCTAAAAAGGATCATATAATTATTTTTCTATAAGACCTAGCTATTGGGTTGGTGAATTGAAAATTGCAGGACTTTGAACTAAAATTTATTCAACATAAAACCATCAATTCATTCCAAATAACTTCCATTATTATTGACAACTTCTGCTCATTTCACAGGCAATTTACGGATTCCTCTTTCGTAGTAGGATTTTGGTTTGTGTGTGAGACAAGTGTGAGACTTAAAAATGGAGGACTGGAGAAGTCCCAGTTTGAGCACTTTCTTCAAAGGAAACCCATTTTGGTGTCAATAGAAAAGTTGTAGAGAATCAAAAATTAGGCTTATAGCCAAATTTCCAAAAAGATACACTTAGTAGTTTCGCTTAAAATGCAAGTTTTGTGAAAATTCGTAAATTTGACATTTCTTGAAAGCCAGTTTTTGAATCGTTCTGAAAATTTGGATATAAGCTTAATTGTTGATTCTCTACAACTTTTCCATTGACACCAAAATGGGTTTCTTTTGAAGAAAGTGCTCAAACTGTGACATATGACACGAGCCGGCAGTTTTCAATTCACCAACCCAATATTTTCAATTTCCCTCAAAATCCATTTTTTTGTGTTCAGTACGAGAGCTTTTCAAGAGCTTTTATAATTATGAGATTTTGTTGATATTTTAAATCTTAAACAAGCTCATAATTTAATCTATAGATTAAACTTGGTTATCTACTATTAGGTTGTCCGGGAATAAATGAGCGTTTTGTATTGTTTATTATTTGGATACATCTTTCTCAATAAAGTATGCTCTGTACCTTGTAATGTTATTGGGTTGGGGAGAATGAGTCGGCGCCGAAAATCAAAAAAGTGTCTAAAACTTCTATTCGACTTCGTCAAATAATATGCGTTTGATATCAGTAGAATGGTTAACTAATTCTCTACAAAATGACATTTAAAAGAGAACTCAAACAGCGCCTCAACTCAACAAAGGATCATTTTTTCACAAAAACTACAAACTGTGATCTAGAAAAAACCATTGGTGGGATCTTCCTGCAAATTTGGCAACTTAAGTAATTGAATGTGCTCTATCTTTTTATATAAACACCAAAAAGGTTTATGTAAAAGAAACTGTTCAAATGATGAGTCGGACTCTTTGCCATTTTAACCAGCTGCGTTTGGAAGTTCATCACTCCACGAAAGAAAAGCTTTGTGGAATCTCTCAAAAGTGATTTTGTAGAGAAATAGTGGATCCTTTTGATGAAACCAAACGTATGTTTAAAGAAGGCTTTATGTGTGCAAAAAGTCCCTTTAAAGTTGGGCGCCGACTCATTCTCCCCAACCCAATATATACCATCAGAAAGCTGAGTTTGATTTTTCTCTTTAAACATGCTTGTAAATTTTGTTAAAAATAAAAATTTTTGCGAATTTTAAGCTTCGCCGTTTTAGATGTCCGAAACTAACTTTCGCCAGATTTTCTTTTATGAGTTCAAACTCAATTGCAATGCAGCTGAAACGGCTCGTAACATTAACGATGCCAAAAACGCCTTCTCCGACTTTATCGCCACCAGAAGCCCGGACTTCTATGCTACCGGCGTAAATAAACTTTTTTCTCGTTTGCAAAAATCTGCTAATTGTAAGGGTTCTTATTTCGATTAATAAAGTTTTGAAGTTTGGTAAGATTTAAGTGATTGTCAAGTTTTGTTTTACAATGAAAATCTATGCAAAGCTGTCCTTGTCAAAGGAGTTTCAAGTGTATCCTTACTGTCATTGATCAAGTATCGATTCTCGTAGATGAGCACTCCGCCATCACCGGAGTAGGTCTCCTAAAAGCTCTTGGGTTTTGTACCTGGCATAATCTGCAGATTTGGTTAAATATTACCGTATTTTCTCTAATAGTAGCGCACCCCAGCAAGTCGAGTTGGTGACTATTTTACGGCTTTCAAAGTTTTCACAGAAGCTCAACACTCTAATCCCCACAAGATCTCATCGTCAGCTACATTTTTCGACCCCACATCGATCGGTTCTAATAAGCGGTTCTCGAGATTTCGAGCAATTTAGGTGCCGCTCAGGGTGCACTACTATTAGAGAAAATACGAATCCGAGGCCGATTCGGGAACTTGAAACTATTCATCTCTTTGTATGAAATTCCTCTATCTATTAGATTGCCATATTTTCTCTAATAGTAGTGCACCCCAGCAAGTCGAGTTGGTGATTATTTTACGGCTTTCAAAGTTTCCACAGCGGCTCAACACTCTAATTCCCCACAGGAGCTCATCGTCAGCTACATTTTCCGACCCCACATCGATAGGTTCTAATAAACGCTTTTCAAAATTTCAAGCAATTTAGGCTAAGCTTAGAACTAGTATTAGCAAAAATACAGCCTTTGTAAAGTTACCTTTTGAATCTAAATTTGCATGAGTATCTATTTGAGCAATACTCACTCTAACTAACGAAACTCTCACCTTCGCCAATTCCGAGCGAGCGTTGTGAATCTTCTTGCGGGATTCACGGATGTGCTTGAAGATCTCTAAAATAATAAGAATCTATCGACTTTTGAGTTCAGTAGACATTTTTCAGTTGTTGTCTTGGAAAACTCACCCTTGGGTTTATACAAAACTTTGTTCTCATTAGAGGCAACCAAAACGGCGTGAGGATGGTACAACTCGTGGAGTCCCTCATAATCGCCATCATAGATCAGCCTTTGGTATTCCTAGAATAGGAATTTTAAGCTCACTTTGATCTTCTAATTGTTAAAAGTCTTGAAAATAGTATGTTTTAAGCTTTAAAGTTTTAACTTTTGTCATTTCATTGCCGAAAAACCTGCCCGAACTCACCGTCAGCGTGGCGCAGTTGACAGCGCGCTTGTCTACGGCTAACACGGACCGCATTCGATTCCCGGAGGTTTCACCAAACTTTGGTTTTTAAATTTCTTTTAAATGACACAACTACAATATATTCTAAGGTCTTCTAAAGAAGTTTTATCTTTATTGGCCAAAACACGGCCGAAAAAGTGCCCGACAGGCAGGCACTGCTCTTTCATATATAGTACTATATATTTATATTAACTAGCACAAACAAAATTTAAGTTGAATTCATGTAGAAAATCGTGACAAATGGCAGATTGCCGGAGATCTGTCGACTAGCGCTCATTCAAGTGCTTTTTAAATGAGTTGTATAAGTCAAATCGAAGTTTTTGGTAGATAAATGTTGTCGAGAATTAGATAAATGTTGTCGAGAATATAACTCTCTATATAACACTTGACACTTCTAAAATAAGTTAGGCATTTACTAGATACTTTTCCAAAAAGTTGTCGCTATACTTTGCGCTCACCCTGTGTGCCCTGTAAAAATCTTGGTTATGCCAGTTCAGCCAAAACAATTCAGTGTGATTCTTAATGTTATTAAGTGATGTTAAACGCTATTTTTGCTTTGAAGAAATATTGAAAAGCTTATCTTAACAATTTTGAATAGAGAAAAGTGGCCAAATAGCAGATTCGCCGGAGCTGTCGACTAGCGCTCATTCAAGCGCTTGTCGAATGAGTTGAGTAAGTCAAATCGAGATTTTTGGTAGATGAATGTTGTCGAGAATTAGGGCTATAACTCTCTATATAACACTTGACACTTCTAAAATAATTCAGGCATTTACCAGATACTTTTCCAAAAACTTGTCGCTATACTTTGCGGTAGATTACCTTGACGAGTGGGAGAAGGGTGGCAGCTGGGGAAGTGGCCGATCCCATGTGTCCGTTGACGGAAACGGCCAGCAGCAAAGCACTGAGGACAATACGGGACATTCCCTGAATTTCTTGGAGTTAAATTGGTAAGGTTAAAAAGCCGTGAGAAAACCTAAAAATCTTGGGATATGGCAATCCTATCAAATACAAAATAGCGCAAGATAATAAACGACTACAGTAAAATGATCTAGTTTATCATTTTCATGGTTTTTTTTTTATCATTTTTATAGCGAAACGGAACATCTAGTAACTCTATTGTGTACTTCTAAAGATACTGTGCGCTAATGATCCTATTATACTGCAGGAAATTGGTAACTTGTGGCCTAAATACAGTAATTTAATATGAAACTTTTGCTAGTTCTCTATTCTTCATTACAGACTGATTACTCGGACATTCTTTAAGTAATAAAGAATGTCCGAAGCTGTCGGGTCTAAGAAATTTAAGAATTTCTAATTTCTAAGTCTGAGGATTTCAAAAAGTTTAAGAAATCTATCCTAAATTCAACTAGCTTATAGATAGCTTATGGATAACTTTATATATTTGACTAGCGGAGAGATCTTTGAATATTGAATTGAAGAAATCTTTGAATATTGAACCATTTCCTCCTTTCCCTTTGATCATCAAACATCAAAAATGCAAGGAAGGAAAAGAAAAACACGAATTATCACAGAGAAAAATCACTTCCTCTTTCAAATCAAACCGCGTTTTGACTAAAATTTTCAAAGAAAAAGGTTTTTGAGCTAAACGATGAAGATTTTCTTTAGCCACTGTAACATATTTCATAACATAACTAAAAACCTTATCAATAATAATTTCTATAAGTTTCCAAAAGCTAAAATTTGCATAGCATTGCTCACCGTTTGTGTCTATTTATTCAGCTCATTGAGCAGCTTTCTGAATATCGATGAGCTGCCATATTCAGCTCAAAAAGATGCTGAATTTAAAACTTTTGCCATCTAAATTTAGTTGTTAAGGGACTGTTTTTATGTCAAGAACAATCGGCTACATTTGAGCGATGTTTATGGTTAAAATTGAATGTGTAAAAGTGTATAGACGGTTAAATTTAGTGGAACAATCTTACAAAAGCAATTCTGTAAAACAATTTGTATATGTAGAAGAATCTTCGCTTCAAAGGAGGCATTATTTTATTCAACTAAATCTAGTTTTTATGAAGAATGGACAGTTTTAGAGCTCTTTTATGTAAAAATGATTAAATTGAGCTCAAATGATGTCACTCAATTGCACTCTAACCATAAGCAAAACACAAATCTTAACACTAGACTTATCCCCCCCAGCTAATTCATTTACTAAAACGTAAATTTTTGGAAACTACTGTAATCTTGTAAGTTTGTCTCTAGCTTTTTTCCAATCTATCCACTTTTTGTTCGATTCTCTAAGAACTTTAGAAAACAAACGGCTCAATTTATTGAGACTTGTTCATTTTGTTTGGCAATGTAACTTTCTGCCAGGAGCAAGTAAGTCCTAGTTCGGCGCTCAATAGCAAAGTATCTAGATCATTTTCTAGATCACTTCTAGATCTTTGGATCATTTTCTAGATCATTTCTAAATCTCTAGATCATTTTTCGTAAGTACAACGTGATTGTAAAAGTACAAAACCTTTTACAAAAACCCAGCTTGTACTGTTTAATAGTAGGATTGTTTTCACACGCAGCTTGATTACAAAAATGTCATTTTAGCCAACATTTACCATCTAAATTTAGTTTTTAAAAGGATTTTTGTGTCCAGAATAAGCAGCTACAGTAGAATGACATATGTGGTTAAAATTCGATTGACCAACTGTATAGACGATTCAAATTTGGTGAGACAATTTTACAAGAGCTCAGCTTGTACTGCTTAAGATAGCAAGATTTCTTTCTTTTGAGCAGCAAGTGTATTGTCAAGCAAATTGTTAAGAGATTCGGTGACTTTATTTAACTAAAAAAAAGCCTTTGTATCACTTGTTTATAATAATTTATTCAAAAAAAGACTAACCCGAGAGATCATTGAGCACTTTAACAAAAAGTAATGAATAAAACCATAATGATAAAGACCAGTAGAAGGAAATAATCAGCTTATTATAGGTTCTAGATCTAGCAAAAATCATTAGGAACTTATTAAACACAAAATATTTCTTAAATTTTAGTTAGAAATTGATGAATATCCCTCAGAGATGTCGTCGAATTATCTTCCTAAAGTTGCAAATAAAGAAAAAAATCAGGATTTAAATTAACCTGAAGCATTTTCTCCTCCTCCTCGTAGACACTTGTTTGCTGGATTTCGTCGTCGTCTGACAAAACCTAAACCACACAGTTTACTTCAAATACTCCAGACCTACAAATATTTCAAACCTTACTTCTTCCTTAGTAATCGCTATAGCATTTTCAGATCTCGTCCAAACATTTCAACATATGGGCTACGTCCAATACCGGAATGAAATCTATCGACAAAATGTAAATTTCCAAAAAAACTTAAGTTACCTGATGCTTTACGATATTGAATCAAGGGCAAAAATCGGGCCCACTCGGTAGCTTTTGTTTCTCTTTGATGAACGCTCAAGATATTTTTTTTTTGATAAATTTCCTAATTTATTTAGACTTTTAAAGCATTTTCATTTTTAAATGTAAATCAAGCCCAGTAAACTTTGCTTTTAATTGCAAAGTTTATTGCAATTTCACTCAAACAAATGCTAATCCTGGAGCCAAATCATTCCTAGTGAGTCGCAGTTTACCCAAAAATAGTTTTAATATTCCCAGCGAGTTCCATTTTTCCCCACAAATATCATCAATCGAGTCAACACTTTAGAAATTCACCGAAAAAATCATAAGATCACAAATCATAAATGTTCTTTTAAATAACCTCTAACTGATCCCAACTTCCAGCTGGTCTTTCGGTGTTCTTCTTTATGGAATGTACTCATTCGGCAAAACTCCTTTCCATTCAATAAACCAAGAGGAAGTGCTTCCACATTTGAAAACAGGGAAACTTTTGGAGATCCCGGAGATCTCTCATGTAATCTAGTTAGAAATGTGTGAATATCAAACGTTTAGAAGCTCGATTATTGGTGATTGTTGGAAAGAAGAGCCAAAGGATCGACCGGAATTTTCAAAAATACCGCAAAGTCTCTATAAAGAGATGGAAGATAATTCTGAATGTTACGGGTATTTACATTTCAGGTAGTTTGGTAAATAAGCATCAAAGAATTTGTAAAAATTCAGTAAGAACTATTATCGCTCTGAGGCGACACGAGAAACAGGAGTAAAGATCGAAACTGTTTAAACGATCAAAAATCTTTCAACAATCTTGGTGCTTGCATTTAATTATGAATAGAAAAAGAGTTATGAATAGAGACTTCGAATTCAGTTTTATTCAACGATTTATCAAAAACTAATTACAGATTTAGCTCTAACGAATGAGGTAGGCCATTTTTTTATTACTACAATATACTGTAGATGCCAAAAATTGATCTTTACCGCTATATCATTAACAAATGTTCATTACAGGCTGAAAACTAATTCTTAAAGTTTACAGCTGTTTCCTGACTCTCAAAAAACACCTGTTTCCATTTTTTCTTCCAACACGTCCACTCTACTTTTTGAGTTCACAAACAGTCAAATTTGATTCACTTTTCCCACTATTAGACTCAAATGTCAGAATATTCAATTCTCGAGACTCTTTATTTAATTCCACTTTCAATCGATGGCCTGATTTGCTCACTCACTATTGGTATATTCAGTTGTGTGAAAGCTCCAGATCACATTAAAACGTTCAGAATGCTTCAAATTGCGATCATTGTGAGTAAATGATAATTTTATGTTGATTCTAAGCTAAATGATCGTTTTGATCGTTAATTATTGGGTTGTCCAGTTATGAATGCGCGTTTTTTACTATTTTGTAAATTTCTCAAGATACCGAAATCAAGAAAAAGAAATATATGAGTATTATTCGAAAGCTGAAGATCTCCTCTACATTTTGATATAAAAAGTTTTTGAATTTGTTCAGCTTTTGGGCAAATTGACTGCACAGAAGAAGAGGTGGCCAAAAAAATGGAAGGGTGCCTTTAGATCAAATTTTGGCTCCGCTCAAATAGAGTTAACCGTTTGATGTTTGGCCAATAGATATATCAATACAACTTTTAAAAAAATATAACAACTTCAGAGCATCTTTACTTTTCTTTTCTGGGCGGTTATTTTACACCATAAAACTTGAGAAATAGCTAAGCTGGAATGGGTTTCTCGAAAACGACCTCTCCTTTTATGCAGTCAATTTCCCAAAAAGTTGAATGAATTCAAAAACTTTCTTATTCCAAAATGTAGAGGAGATCTTCAGCTTTCGAATGATATATAACACTCCTATACATCTGTTCGATATCTTGAGAAGTTTACAATAGTAAAAACGCGCATTTATAACTGGACAACCCAATATTATAAGAGAGAGGAAGAGTATACCTGGGTGTCTCCGCAGCAGGAGATGTTCATCAACAAAATGTTGCCGAATATGAGAGGAAATCAATCAGCCGATTTGTTTTTGCTATTTTTAGTATAAAAAGCATCAAATAAAAAAAAATGATAGTTATCGGCGATAAAAATTTCTCACTTGGAATCAGCCTCGATTGTTACCCCCTTTAACATCTCATTTTAGCTATGTTCCCTATCAATGACGATTACTTTGTCCCTCACTCGCCCCGTCGTCATCCCATCTTTCACCATCATTTCAGCAAGTTCAATAAATTTCAGTCAAACAGAGCTTCTCATACTTGCTGTAAGATCAGTTGGTTATTGTTTCTTGTTAACTGCAAATTCTAGCACATTTATTTATCTCTCTCTATCTTTCATCTTGTTTTACATGCGTATAACTTTTTTCTTCGATGTCTCGCTATATCGTCCCCAGAATGGGAAATTCGAGTTCGACGAATAATTTCTGTATGAAAAGAAATTAATTTTGAAAAATGTTGATTTTTTAAAGTTTTTTTTTTCACGAACTTACTTCTTTTCTTGGTCCCAAGCTTCTTTTACATTGATTATTTGGTGATTCCTTATCAAATACATGAAAGTGATAGGGTAACTTTCTTTACATTACAAATTTTTAGAGAAAAATACAATTAAACAATTCTTAGATCAAATCTTCAATTGATTGCTCTGTTCTTATAAACGATTCAAATTTTCCCCTGACACTTGCATTATTCGGACTTCTCGTGGTCGCTGTGATGAGGTTGATCTTTTAAATCAATTAGAGTCCGTGTCGAGCTCATACTTTAAACTCAAAATACGTTCGACTTATTTGTTAAGTAATACCGGAGTAACTTAAATTGTCTCAAAGTTAAGCTTTTAGTTGGGGCATTGTTGTTCTAACTCTTTTATACAAACTTCCTCATCTCGGGCCTCCTCTGAGTATCAAAATACAAACGATGCATCATCAATTATTACGAGTTTCGATAGTTCAGGTACATGAGTGGATTCTCGGATGATATTTATTAGGTACTCCGGAAAATGACAGCATTTTTCTTAATGATTTCCAATTGCAAAAATTTTTATTTAAAAAAAATCAAATTGATCAAGATAACAACCGTTAGAATCAATACACTTTTGCCAATGAGTAGCCAGTTTTTCGATCCCTGCAGCAAAAGAAATCGGCCTGTCTAGAGGTGATGAAGTTAATAGAATTTGTCTTCGATAGAATTTTTCACCTTTGTTTCGTTCTTGAAAATTGTATCTCGACCTCTAGGTTTCAAAAAGGGGACCGACCGACCGGTTTTGTGTTCACAGATCTATTCGATGATCTGAATCCGCTTTTAGTTTTTTTCGAAACGTTTCTGTAGCCAGGAGGCAGAAGGTAACAAGTAGTGAGTAAAGCTTGTAAATCAATCGGAAAAAAGCGAAATTTTGTATGCCAAATATCTCGTGTCACAGAAGCGTTTCGGTAAAACTAAAAGCAGATTCAGAATCCCGATGAAAAGCCTATCAGATGGGCCAAGGTTCATGTGAAAACTCGATCCTGATTTGACAAAATTCCCTAGTTAAAACCTCATTTAAACTAATTGTAAAAAAAATGTCATCAAAAATATCTAGATCATCTTTTTGGCGACAATATCTTTTCTACCTTGGATTGTGTTAGCTTTATCAGCACTTGTTGTTCAAGATAAAGAAACAAGTAAGTATTTGAAACTCCTATTTATACGGTCTCCTTTTCAGACAAAATTGTACCCTATGCACTAATGATAACCACTTTGCATTCCTCCGGCAATTGTCTCATCGTTCTTTTTGTGACTAAATACTATCGAGATCTTTTCATTAAACTTTGTCAGGTAAGTGAATAGAAAAAGAATGAGACATTGACAACAGTATGATTAGATTATCTCGTTTTCAGCGTCTCAAAAAACGATTCATATCACGAATTGGAGATTCCATTGTGTTTTAGCACAACAACCAAAGCCTTATGTTATTCGACCTGATGAAAAATGAAAATATAAAATTTTTTGTGCTTTATCTGATAGCTAACAGTTCGATGTCCATAAAATCTTAATTTAAACTTCATATTCAAGCGCATTACTTTTCAGGACCCTTAAAAGATATATCCTTTGGTGATCAAGTTTTTCATTGGTTGAAAGAGTGGTTCGAAGAGCCGAGTATGAATTGATATGAGCCGTGAATCAACCTATTTTCAACTCACGGATTATGCTTGGTCAAGAGCTTTCTCTGGTAATCGACTTATTGTTGAAGCACCAAATCAAAAGATAAGAGAAAAACAAGAGAACATTCATTTGAAGAGATCTTTCTATTGATCTTCTTTTTCATTGTGGCTCCACTCCAACAGATTGAGATTCAAATATCCGTTGAATCAAAGACTAATTTTCCGGTTGACTATGACAATGTAACTCCTCGACCGCCAAATCCACCACAACCGTCATTCAGTTCAGATTGTCACAATTTAACTGAATTTAACTCTGATTTTGTAAATCTCTACAAAAGCCAAATCCAATGGCTTTCAATTGGACTGGACCTAGAATTTCAACCTTGCTCTTGGATTTAGTCTCCGATTTGCCTTAACTCTTAGCTTGAGCTTGACTTATTTCGAGGGTATACTGTTCTGCAGTTTCTCAAAAATTAGTGCAAAGTGAGACAGAATAATCTACTATATATAAAAGAGAAGTTTCCGTCCGTCTGTCTGTCTGTACGTCCGTTTGTCTGTCCGTCTGACTGTTCGTCGGTGACACTCTGGATCTCGGCTCCACATGAACCGATTTCGATAAATTTCGATTAGATCGATGGGGTATTAAAAATGAAATGGTACATACTTTTTGGTCAAAACAAGTTTTTTGATCTAAACCCGTGAAAAAGTCAGAAAAACACTTAAAACGCCCCTTTTTTAAACTTCTTAAAAGGATGCAATAATACCCGTTACTGACTATTTTCTGATTCAAATCTACCTCTGTGACGGGTGCAACGGTTGAAGGACCAGTGGTGGCCGGATCAACGGTGGTGGTGGTTACGTTAAGGGTTTTCACAATCATCTTCGGTATCATCGGTCTATCCAATCCGAGAAAGATGATCTCCGGTAGATAGGCCAAGGCCAGCTTTTGATTTGTGACAACTTTAGTGATCTAAACCCAACGTAAATACCGTAAATATTCAAATAAAACGTTATTTGAATATTTACGGTCCTTCAGCCACCGTTGCACTTTTTTCCTTCAGCTGCCCATGGAACTGGGCCAGATCAAAACTTGTGCGCCGCCGGGACTTGAACCTCCGATCTTTCGCTTACCGGGCAACTGTACTAACTATTACACCAGAAGGCACTCGATCCACCTTTTTCCAGGGGGAGTTAACTTTTAAGTCATTCTATTTTGAACAACTTGTTAAGCAAAGTGTTTGAAAAATATTAGGTTGGCGACATTGAAATTTCGTTTGCGATTCTCTTTATGGATTTTAACACTGTAGATACTATTACCACCGCAATCTCTTCTGTTTTAAAGATATAATCATTGTGCTTTATTACGCGTCTTTTCTTTATTTCCGGTTGAAGAATTTTAATAAAAGAATCTTATAGATGCTAGACGACCTCAAATATCAACTTCGCATTTGTTGCTGTACGATTTCAAACATGAAAAAACAGCAACTGAATCGCATGAATCACTTTGTAACGTATTTGAAAAAGGTGTTATCACTGTTCATCAATGTCAAAACTGGTTTAAAAGATTTCGAAAGGGTGACGGAAGTCTGGAAGCTCTGGAACGAGGACACCTCCCACAGGCTGTGGCAAACGACCATTGAAGCAGATAATCGAAAGTGATCCGACAAAGACTACATGTGACTATGCGGAATATTTTAATTGTGATCATAAAACAACCGAAAACCATTTGCATGAATTGGGCAAGCTCAATAAGGCTGAAAAATGGATTCCACATTCACTGATGCAAGCAAAGCCATCAGAGTTCTTTGTTCAGGAAATTTGCATAGAATTTCCAAGAATAGTGGATTTTGGGATGCAATTTTAACTTCTGATAAGAAATGGATTCATTATGGCAATATTAGAAGGATTAGACAATGGCTCGACCCGGGTGAAATTCCAAAGCCAATACCTAAACCTGATTTTCCCGGAAAGAAAGTTATGCTGTCGGTTTGGTGGAATACCCGAGGCCTAGTTCATTTTGAAGTGTTAATTTCTGATCAGGCTGTTGATGCAAATCTTTGCGTTCAACAACTAGATCGCGTAGACGCGGTTCTTCGCCCAAAAGGAATTGATCCGACAACGGTGCGATTGTTACAAGACTATGCCCGTCCTCACGTTGCCAAAATTACGCAAGAGAAGATTGAGCAATTGAGCTGGCAACTTCTAGTTCATCCGCCATATAGTCCAGATATTGCCCCGTCTGGCTACCATTTCTTTCGAAGTATGCGGCATTCACTCGAAGGCCACAAGTTCCAGAACATTGACGACATCAAAAAACGGGTCTCTGCTTTTTTTCAATCAAAACCAGCACAATTCTTTCAAGAGAGTATCCATAATTTGTGTTAAAGATAGAAAAATGCTATTGATAGCTGTGGGGAATATATTGTTGATTAATTGTTTCTAGTTTATTTTTACGAATAAATTTTGTTGTTGCTCAAAAACGAAATTTCAATGTCGCCAACCTAATAATTAAATTAAAGTACTTAGGTAAATAAATAAGGTAAATATGGTAGTTATTTTCATATTTACCGTATAGATTACGGTAGTTATTTTTCTCAGCGCATCTTTTTAAACATTTTAACAACCGCATAGTAATCGCGTAGTCAAGCAAATAAACAATTAATATTGAGAAAAGCAATAGAATTATACAGTACTCTTGTTTCAGCTGGTCTTTCGGTGTTTTTTCTACGAAATGTACTCATTCGGCAAAACTTCATTCCATTCAATAAGCCAAGAGGAAGTGCTTCCACATTTGAAAGCTGGAAAACGATTGGAATTGTCAATCGCCAGATTGGATGTAAGAAAATCGTCAAACTTGAGTAAATTTGTTTAGAAATGAAATTGTTGAGAGTTGTTGGAAAATTGATCCAGTTGATCGTCCAGAATTCTCAACGGTTCGCCAAAATTTCTATTGAGAAATCGGACAACTCTGCTTCGAACTCATCCACTGTCCATGGAGTTGAATGTTTTCATACGAAAGCCAAGTCTCATCAGATGTCAAAAAAAAACTTCCAAAAGTCACGATGGTGAGCTTTTCGCAGAAGAAAAGAGTTCAGGGTGACTCGTATGGCTTTGTGGGCATCAGTGAGGTCGTGGGGGGGGGGGCATTTCCCGCTTCGATATGATTACCCAAGAACGTGGAAATAGTAACATGAGTGCATCCAAACTTTTCTGCTAATTTTCTACACTTTTGCGATGGATCCAAGTCGACCTCGTTCAGTAACAGCTGATCGTTCAAAGTAATCCGTGGCTTTCCATGTGGTGCATCTTCCAATGACTCGTTTCCCGTCGTAAAGCGATCGTACCAAACACAACATTATTTGTAAGTAAGATCAGCTTCTCCAAAAACAGTACAAATGTTCTGATGGCATTCCGTAGCTTTCTTGTTTAACCTGAATTCAAAGAACATGGCAGCCCTAATTTTAAATTTTTGGTCATCCATCTTTGTCGAGCTGAAACAATACAAATATTATTCAAAACAAAAAAGTTTTTGCAAACAAAAACATAAGCACACTTTGACATATTATTGAGAAAAATCCTAGACAGCGAATGTTCTTCGTAACGACAGGACAATATTTTTTGCAAAAAAATAACCTTTCATATTTACCAAGCTTATATTTATATATAGCTTTTAAAAGCTGGCATAAACAAAATTTAAGTTGAAGTCATGTAGAAAATCGTGAAAAATGGCAGATTGCCGGAGAGCTATCGACTAGCGATCATTCAAGCGCTTGTTAAATGAGTTGCATAAGTCAAATCGAGAAATTTTGGTATATAAATGTTGTCGAGAATTAGGGCTACAACTCTCTATATAACACTTGACACTTCTAAAATAAGTTAGGCATTTACCAGATACTTTTCCAAAAAGTTGTCGCTATACTTTGCGGTAGATTACCTTGACGAGTGGGAGAAGGGTGGCAGCTGGGGAAGTGGCCGATCCCATGTGTCCGTTGAGGCAAACGGCCAGCAACAAAGCATTGAGGACAATACGGGACATTGCCTGAATTTCTTGGAGTTAAATTGGTAAGGTCAAGAAGCTGTGAGAAAACCTAAAAATTTGTTAATGTGAAAGAATATTAACTTCAAAGGCGGCATTATTTTATTCAACTAAATCTAGTTTTTGATGAAGAATGGACAGTTTTAGATTGCTTTTTTGTAAAAATAATGAAAATTGAACTCAAATGATGTCACTCAATTGCACTCTAGCCAGAAGCGAGGCACAAATCTTAACACTAGGCTTGTCCCCTCAGTCAATGCATTTACTAAAACATGTAAATTTTTGGAAACTACTGTAATCTTGCAAGCTTGCCTCTAGCTTTTATCCAATCTATCCACTTTTTGTTCGATTCTGTAAGAACTTTAGAAAACAAACGGCTCAATGTATTGAGACTTGTTCATTCTGCTTGGCAATGTCACTTTCTGCCAGGAGCATGTAAGTCCTAGTTCGGCACTCAATAGCAGATCTAGTCATTTCTAGATCTCTAGGTCATTTTCTATTGGGTTGGGGAGAATGAGTCGGCGCCGAAAATGAAAAAAATGTCTAAAACTTCTATTCGACTTCGTCAAATAATATGCGTTTGATATGAGTAGAATGGTTAACTAATTCTCTACAAAATCACATTTAAAAGAAAATTCAAACAGCGCCTCCGCTCAAGAAAAAGCCATTTTTTCACAAAAACTACAAACTATGATCTAGAAAAAACCATTGGTGGGATCTTCCTGCAAATTTGGCAACTTAAGTAATTCAATGTGCTCTATCTTTTTTATATAAACACCAAAGAAGGTTTATGTGAAAGAAACTGTTCAAATGATGAGTCGGACTCTTTGCCATTTTAACCAGCTGCGTTTGGAAGTTCATAAACTCCACGAAAGAAAAGCTTTGTGGAATCTCTCAAAAGTGATTTTGTAGAGAAATAGTGGATCCTTTTGATGAAACCAAACGTATGTTTAAAGAAGGCTTTATGTGTGCAAAAAGTCCCTTTAAAGTTTGGCGCCGACTCATTCTCCCCAACCGAATAGATCATTTCTAGATCTCTAGGTCATTTTCTAGATCACTTCTAGATCTCTAGATCATTTTTCTTAAGTGCAACTGATTGCAAAAGTACAAAACCTTGTACAAAAACCCAGCTTGTAATGCCTAATAGTAAGATTGTTTTCTCATGCAGCTTGATCACAAAAATGTCATTTTAGCCATTATTTGCCATCTAAATTTGGTTCTTAAAGAGAGTTTTAGAGTTCAGAATAAGCAGCTACAGTAGAATGACATCTGTGGTTAAAATTCGATTGACCAACTGTATAGACGATTCAAATTTGGTGAGACAATTTTACAAAAGCTCAGCTTGTACTGCCTAAGATAGTGGGATTTCTTTCTCTTGAGCACCAAGTGCATTGTAAAGCAAATTGTTAAGAGATTCGGTGACTTTATTTTAACGATTTAACTAATAGCTTTTTCATGCCAATTTCTACTTTCGGAAAATGATTTGATGTTTGTTCGAGTACACACCAATGTTGATGTAATCTGCTTTAAAACTTCTTCATCTTTTTGCCAGAAAGATCAAAGGATTTGCCGCTGAATTTGAATGAGTCTCTTGTCTAAGATTAGCCAAAAAAAGCCTTTCTAGCACTTGTTTATAATAATTTATTGAAAAACAGACTAACCCGAGAGGTCATTGAGCACTTTAACAAAAAGTAATGAATAAAACCATAATGATAAAGACCAGTAGAGGAAAATAATCAACTTATTATAGGTTCTAGATCTAGCAAAAATCATTAAGAACTTCTGAAACACAAAGTATTTCTTAAATTTTAGTTAGAAATTGATGAATATCCCTCAGAGATGTCGTCGAGAAGTTTCTTCATCTGAAAAAAGTAGAAAGTTTAAGTGTTGTAAAAGAAATTTGAGCAAAAATCTATAGCTAAAACTGTAGAATTCTAGCTTAAAACCTTTCAATTATTTGAATAAGTAAAAGTGTAGTAAATTTAATCAGAACTGAACTAATTGTAAGTATTTTCAAGCCAGGAAAGTCTGTTCCAAAAATATGTTTCGTTAGTAATGCGCTAAAAGGTGGGTAATTCGAAAAGCTCTCTCCAGAGCTTGTCGGCTTTACATACATAATTATGATCTCATTCGACGAGGAATCAGACTTTGAATTGAATAGGATCAAAAGCAAATAAAATGATCAAAATCTGATGGAAAGATTGAGAGAGTAAGCGAAATTGCCCGCCTTTTAGAAAACGCATTACTCGCTTTACACATTTTGTGCCAAATCAATGCGCGTACAATTTTCATTTTTGATTTGACAGGCAATCAACGACGATTTCATTGCCTGAGTCTGATGCTGAGGTCTTTGAGTCTGCTGCTGATGAGCCTGACTCTGATGGAAAGATTACAGTAGTCGGCCAAATTGTTCGCCTTTAAAATAATTTCCCAAATGGACTTACCATTTGTTTCTCTGTATTTCTAGATACCAATGCTTTCTGATATGTAAATGATTTGTTTCTCGATGAGCGCCCCCTTTAGATCCACAATTAGTTGCTTGTTCTAAAAAAGGAATCTTAGAATTAGTCCCAAGAACACAAAAAGTTTAAGGATTTGTTGAAAAGAACTTGTTGATACCCTAGAAACTTAAAACGATATCATTTGCGATATCAAAAGGTTTAGGTAACCACAGATGAACTCGACTTGTTAAAGCTTACTTTCCAGTATCAAACGGGCAACCTGGTGCAATATTAGCAAAATTTTTGGGTGGGAGAGTCAAGGAAATTCAAAATAAATTACAATCAGGCACTCGTTGATTCTGGGATGGTCGATTATACGAATATAAGCCATGCTGTCAGCTTGGCTGAACAAAACTTAGCCTTCAGCGAGCATTTCTTTCGTTTTGCTGATCTTAACACGGAAAACACGGGAGTTCAGATAGTTTTGGTAATCTTTACAAGATTTTAGAGCTTTTGTTGCTCTTAACCCTGCAAAAAAGACACTTTGAATCAATGGAGTTATACGTCCACAAAACAAACAAATTAGCATATCCTTTTTTTACCAAATATTCTTACCTAAATCATCAATTAAGTTATGAAACGTATGTAAATACGTTTCGCTTTGATTTCATTTGATTTTTATGCAACGCTTTTTTGGGGTAAGAATGGTAAGAATTTATGGTGAATAGAGTAGAGTTCTCTTGTGGTGTTTAACTCCATTGGTGCTGCCTTTTTTAGAAGAAATTTAGCCCAAATTTACCTCAGTCCGTCCCTCTTGCGACACCGCATTCCATGGCATTCCGACACTGAGCGAGTGATTCCGAGCTCTCGCCTCATTCACAATGTCATTCACATCACGATTCTTTGTTTCTAAACCATAAAATTTGGTTTATTTTGGAAGGTGATAGTAAATCAATCTTCAAGAAATGAAGCTAATTTCGTTAAAATTTTAGGAAAATAAATTCAGTAATTTGTTATAGATTATCTCTTACCGGGTAGAATGAAGTAAAGAACGACAATCGAGATACTACTCACCACAATGAAAGGCATGTAGCTGAACGTGACACCGACCATCTGAATGTGATTTAAGCTAGTGCAAGACAAGTAGCATCTAGATTAGATCAATAGTAATTTGTAAGATTAGTGCAAATAAAAGAAACTGACAAGGGAAAGGCAACAGTAGGATGTGGCCAAATGTGATGAATCATCGCAGAATTTCACGCTAATTCCGAATATTTTCAAAAGCAAAATATAAAATAAAAATAAGAAATAAAAACTAGTTTTAAAGCCAGATAAAATTCAAGTTTTAAAAGATGAAAACGCAAAATAAACGTTTTGCCAAAAAGGGAATCGTACACAAGCAAAAAAATGGAGTGATCGTTTTGTATGCCAGCGTTTTCTCAACTATACTACCATCACGCTTAAGGTCCGTAAAAGAACCCTTATAAAGTTACCTATTCGTCTCCAAATTTTTCCCAGTTTTTGCCAAAACACGTGTAACTTTTTATAGAAAATCATTTTGCAAAAACGGAAAGCAGGTTCGGAATCAACGTGGAATTCTGCGTCGAATGGTCTATGGCTTATCTCATTTGACCACATCCAACTGTTGCCTTTCCCTTGTAAGCTTTGCTTAGTTCTCATGAAGGAAATATTGGCCAATTCACTACTCACAATCAGCAGTTTGGATGTATGGTGATTGTTTTTCCTTGAATTTTTCTTTGCAATCCATACTATGAAAGAAATTCAAGTACTTTAACTTAGTTACCTGTTGAAATGGTAGATACGCTGATGAGATAATCGTCGCCATGAGGTAAGCGACGAAGACCGAGACGGTGACAGCAGTTGAACGGAACTGAAAGCGATTCTGGGATTCAAAGTTACTTGAAGAATTCTGCGAATTCTTTAAAGCAAACATTAAAAGTTCGAATAAAGGGAAATCTTACATGTTGATTGAAAAGCTCTCCGGTGATCATCCAGGGAATCGGCGAGCCGACTCCATACACACACATGTACAAAACGAGTGCGCCGATCGTTCCGTAACTTGCCCAAGTCGCCTAAAACAAAGCCGTACTTTCAAAAATGACACTACGTTTCAACTTTCTAAGTTTCTGAGTCAAAACAAACGTCAACTCACTTGTCCGTACTGTTGAATTCCTGTGAACAGAGTGAGCAGCGATAAAGCGATGAGACAAGCGATCAACTAAAAAGGAGTTTATATAAAAGTTTATTCTACGAGTTTACAAGTTCTTGACTTTATGCTCAACATGGAAACACACACCATCTGGCGGATTGAATTCTTTATTAGTGCGCCAGAAAGAAAGGAAGCAAAAACGCTTTGGGACAAAAATGAAACTACATCCTGTCTGCAGCACTTAATCACATTAATTTGTTCAAATTTTATCGAAAACCTTTATTTATTCAATTGAACTCACTTGGAATAGAGAAAGTGGCCTTCGCCCAACTCGATCAATCAACAAAGGAGCCGAACAAGCGAACAAAAAGTAGACGACACCGATAGCCAGCGTTGCATAACGAGCTGTTTGTCTAAATTTCATTAGTTAAATATAATTTTATGAAGTTGATATGATTCTTTGTTGAAATTTAAAGAATAAGATATCTACTCAATACAGAAGTTATCTTTTTGATCTTTTAGCGGCTGCAAAATGTTTCGATGCTCGTAGGTTTTTTTATAGATAGACATTGGCACTACAATACAAACCTAAACTACAAACCCTTCTAACTTGCTTCAAATCTGCCGGATTGACATGATCTATAGCTTGAAAAATAGAGAATCTCAAGAGCTTTCGAATGAACTAAAGCGCCCCCAAAAATATCAATGCTAAAGAAAGTTACAGTGGTTTTTAGCCTGACTCGATCGCTTCAACTACGCGCAAGTACGATTCACTAGGACTACAAACCACTGTAACTTTTTTTTAGTATTGATATTTTTGGGGGCGCTTTAGTCCATTCAAAAGTTCTTGAGATTCTCTATTTTTCAAGCTATAGATCATGTCAATCCGGCAGATTTGAAGCAAGTTAGAAGTGTTTGCAGTGTGACAGTTCTTCAGTTTTGTAGTTTATAGTACCAATGTCTCTTAGTTACTTAATTTCTAAGAATTCAAAATTCTAGTATTCCTTTATTGATTAAATATCATCAAGTCGAACTCACGGATCAAGTTTCGCATTGATAAACATATCAGTCGAGTAAGCAAAGACAGCTGTGCATCCGGTGAACTGCTGAGCGACCATGACAAGAAGAGAAACGAGTAGGGGAAGACGGAGCTTCTTGCTCGTGAAGAGTTCCCAAAAAGAACCGGATCGACTCTAGAATGAAGCAATATTTACTTCTGAATCTGAAAATTTACTTTGTCTCTTGCGCTTTCTCGGATGAGTTCGTTGAAGACGGGTTTTGCTTGTTTCTCACCAACCAAAGCAACAATTGAATCATAGGCAGCTTCTCGATTTCCACGGGTCATCAATAGATATCTGAATAGTAAAGTAAAGAAATGAATGGCAAAGAATTTAGAACCGAGGAGGAATTAAATCCAAGACCTTCTGCTTACCGGGCAGATGCTCTATCACTGAACTATTTGCACCTTCTTTGCCCAAGAAGAAATCAGAAAGACAAGGAAGAGAAAGAAAGGAAGAAAGAGAAGGATAAATAAATCTTTGAGGCTTAATTTAGCCAAATCTTTAATAATTTAGTGGACCAAAAGTCATGAAATTTGCTCATTTTGCACTTCTAGTTCTCAATCACTTTTGCATAAGTTCTGTGCCCAATAACAGCTTTAGCAGGTTCAAGAAATATGCAAATAAGTGGTGATTTGGCCTCCAAAGCCTCAGTTCCCATTTTTTTTTTGCTTACTTTGGAGATTCAGGGCAAAACGGTAGGATAAAACAGAGAGCCAATGCTGGGATTCCTGGGAGGGCAAAGGCGATCGGCCACCAATTTGATCCACCAAGTACCTAAAAGTTAAACCTATCCTATTCAATTTTATTTTCTAAAACTTGTAAAATAAGCTTCTGAACTTTGCAAATGACTCAAAAATATAAAAACAAACTTCAGGAAGTCCAATGAGCAACGAAAACCAGTCAGAGAATGAGACGGCCACCTGGAAGCCGTGTTTGAGAAAAAACAATACTTGGAAACTGGTAAATTTATCGAGTTGATAAAGTGGAAAGTTTGGGAATCTTTCAAATTCAATTACGAACCATATGCAAAGTTCCAGCGGCTCCTCGATATTTTGCTGGCGTCAACTCCATTAAATACATTGGAACGACCCCGGAAGTGAGTCCCATATTCGCACCAAGGATGAATCGACCAATGATCAACAATTCGGGAGAGCTGAAAGGTGAAATAAATAATGGTTGAATAGCTTGTTATTTCAAAAAAGCGCAATTTTGTACTGCTAAAGTTAGCCAGTTTTGATCCCACCTAGCCGACCTGGCGATCAGCTCGCAAAAAGCACCGATAATGTTGAAAATCCCGTTGATAATGAGAGCATTCCGACGGCCACATCGCTCAGAAAGAACCCTGAAACTTAACAAAATTAGAATAAAGTAGACTTGTAACGAAAATATCTGTCGATCTTTTTTTGCCGTTATCAATTTAAGATTTTTTTATGTTTTTCTCAGCACCAGACCTTCGATTTTGATTATCATTTGATGCAAAATAAAATTGCGCGTCGAATGATACCAAAATTAACTCAAAATGTGATATCTATACAAAGTTATGAGGCAAAAGGTTGCCCTCCACCCATAATGAGCGGGGTTTAGGTTTTTAGCCAACAACTTTGTGTGGTTATTATATTTTGAGTTGATTTTGATATCATTCGACGCGCAATTTTATTCTGCATCAAATGATAATTAAAATAGTCAAAAATCAAAGGGTTGATGCTGAGAAAAACACGAAAAACCTTAAATTGCCAACGGCAAAAAAACCGATAGATGTTTTCGTTACAAGTTTAGAATAAAGACATGAAAATATTAATAAATTTATAGCACTGAAACTGAGCAGTTATAGCAGTTTAAATTCTGCAATCAAACCAAAAACGTACCTGACAAGAAGAGCTCCAGCAAGTGCTCCCAACGAAACGCTGCCGACTACGAGAGCCCAAATGAGATTGAGATTTGTCTGGAATTTGAAATATTAAGTAATCCATTGAAAACAAGAAGTTTAGCTTTTTTTCAAAGCGAATTTGATTTCTGTACTAACCTCACTAACAAAAGTGCCACTTCTTTCCATATAAGTGAGATTAATCCATTGGGTGATCAACTCCTGGCACGGGTTCACGATTCCATAGCTGAAACACAAAATGTGCAATTGTTGTGCAAACAAAGCACAAAACAAAGTGCAATTGTTGAACAATTCTAATAAAAAGATTATAAAACAACTTCTAATATCAATTGTTAAAGTTTGATTATACAGGGTGGCTGAAAATTACGTGCGCGCAGCATCTGACATAGTTTTAAACAACGTATAAAGCATGACTACTCATCTTTTTGTGTTTTGATATTCTTTTTATCGTTGTCTATTAATTTTTTGTTAAAAAAGTTGTTTTCTAGGTCATGACAAAGACGTGCGATCTCAATCCGTTCGACTTTTCGGTTTGGGGTTTTATGGAAGAACAATTGAGAAATAGGAAAATCAACAATTTGCATGATTTACGTCGAGAATTGATCAAAATCTGGGACGACTTAGATGCAAATTATCTCCGCCGCACCGTCGATTCTGTAAAGAAGCGAATTGAAGCCTGTATCAAAGCGGATGGAGGCCGCATCGAAAATTTCTTGTAATTATTAAATGCTTTTGTTACAACTATTATATAAATAAATATTTTTACATGTTCTTTAAAAGAAAATTAAATTATGGCGTTTTCTTTGGCGCAATTTTCTTTGGCGTAATTTTCAGCCACCCTGTAGTTTTTACCTGTAAAATTGAGCGCTTCCCCCGAGGATCGCCGTGAGAATGGTGATGTAGTACCTGGAAAGATTGTTTTAGACGCAAAAATGTAATCAATTTTGTTAATTCTTAAATTTTGCTTTACAAAAAGCTAAAGTCTACATAAATTCTTAGAGATTATTTTCAAAGAAAGATCTTAAGTCAAGTTTTCAAGCAGTTTTAGCCGATGATTTTGAAATTTTTTCGCTTACCTGACTCCAAGCCTCACATTTTTCACAATCATTTTCCTTTAATAATAAAAAAATTTCAGTAAACGTGAAGAATCTCATAAATTTCTTCAAATAGTACAGACAAAGCATGGTCATTTTGGTGTGGGGAATCGATAAGAATCAAGAATTCTGATTGATCTTTACTATTCTTTTTGCTTTTTGTCCTTTGTTTCAGCGGAGAGAAAAAGTGCTTAAAATTTGAAGAAAAACTGTTTAGAAAAGAGATAAGAATGATTAGACCGAACTGGCAAAATTGTGCAAAAAATCTAATGGAGAAAGTTTTATTGTTTGATCATTCAAGTTGCGATGAAAACTTTCAAACCAACCTTGCTGTGCACATTCGAAAAGTTGAACAGTTAACCAGTTGAAATAATAAGATCCTTCAAAGCCAAAGAGAAGAAGATTTTTCGAATCTCATTCCTATCTATTCAATCTCATTGTGAAGACAATTATTGTGGGTAAATGCCCATCGGCTAAACAAGTACAACGGGGGATTATCGATAGCGATAAGATCAGAGAGAATATCAAGTATATGGTCGGCTTTTGGCAATTTTGGAAAGCCAATTCTTGAGTAGGCAGACTTGGCGTCTGTCTTTTGATTGAGCACGTGCAAATCATGTGTTGGGGATGGACAAGAAATTTCAGATCTACGGGATGCGGCAGGACTATTGCAACCAATCTTTTTATATGAGAAAGCGTGTTGAAAAAGTGAATTTTTGACATCCTACTTTGCGCGCCCTTAAATCAGTCAAAAATTGAAGTGAATTAAAAAACGAAAGAGGCTATCTTATAGATCTCGCTTCAAGCTTTCAGAACCACTAAAACACTTATAGACTTCTATGTATAGTTCTCGAGTTATAGTGATTCAAAGGGGGGGGGGGGATACGGAACTTAATCTCGCTTGAAACTTTCAATAAAAATTGAATAAATGAATAATTAAATAGGATTAAACCTGTAAACTTAAGCATTTATTTGTCTAGAATAGATTTTATAGCTCGTTTTTCTAGTTTCCTTATCTTGTTTCTCCAAATTGTCACCTTTTTGTCTCACCGTTGCATCAGGTTTGTTTAAAGAAGCGTTCGAGTAAGTCTGACTAAAAATATTAGCATTGAAACAAAAAAGTTCACAAATTATCCTGAATTATTTTGCTAAAACGGTGCAAAAAATACCGATTCAACTTCAAAAAGGTTTACAGTTATTGGGTTGGGGAGAATGAGTCGGCGCCAAACTTTAAAGGGACTTTTTGCACACATAAAGCCTTCTTTAAACATACGTTTGGTTTCATCAAAAGGATCCACTATTTCTCTACAAAATCACTTTTGAGAGATTCCACAAAGCTTTTCTTTCGTCGAGTTTATGAACTTCCAAACGCAGCTGGTTAAAATGGCAAAGAGTCCGACTCATCGTTTGAACAGTTTCTACCACATAAACCTTCTCTGGTGTTTATATAAAAAAGATAGAGCACATTCAATTACTTAAGTTGCCAAATTTGCAGGAAGATCCCACCAATGGTTTTTTCTAGATCACAGTTTGTAGTTTTTGTGAAAAAATGGCTTTTTTCTTGAGCGGAGGCGCTGTTTGAATTTTCTTTTAAATGTGATTTTGTAGAGAATTAGTTAACCATTCTACTGATATCAAACGCATATTATTTGACGAAGTCGAATAGAAGTTTTAGACATTTTTTTGATTTTCGGCGCCGACTCATTCTCCCCAACCCAATACTTCAAAGTTTCAGGCCAAATCCCTTTAATATTAAGCCAACTTCCCTTGCCGAATCTTTTCAATTTTAACCAATTTATTTATTTTGGTCTGATTAAAATTTAAGAAGTATACTAAAAGAATCAGAAGCTAATAGTCAGAGACAAGTTGACATGTTAAAAAAACTCAGGAGTAGAGGAACATCTAACAAGACTCGATGACTTGTATAGTGATTTTGCTCTCGTCCTGTTCAAGAATTGTTTCCTTTATTCCAAAATAGCTAGTGGTCTTTAAGTTCTTTTCGGAAATCCGTGTCTTTTCATTATAAAATTATCATATGCAAAACCCAAATCAAATTCGATTCTCTTAGGACTTTTCTTGGGACAAAGGGTTGAAATAAACTCCACCAATAGGTTCTACGAGCCTGAAAATCTCAGAGCACAAATTTTTAACACTAAATCTCTATTGGGAATCATTTACAGAACAAAAGAAAAATCGGGACTATGAAGATTGAGCCGAATGGAATTACCATTTACCAGGGCCTTCGCTTTGTACGAATCTGGTATTAAAATGTAGCCCTTCAATTGGGCTACACCATGATCTAGAAAACTTTTAGAAAAAGTGTTGTTTAGTACAAGAAAAATGGTCGCAAAGTGAGAGCACCAACTGTACTTCGCAATACTAACAACAACGGTCTTTTATATGGTGCTCTCACTTTGCGACCATTTTTTTGTACTAAATAACACTTTTTCTAAAAGTTTTCTAGATCATCGTGCAGCCCAATTGAAGGGCTACATTTTAATACCAGATTCGTACAAAGCGAAGGCCCTGGTAAATGGTAATTCCATCTGGCGCACTTTCCGTTTTTACACAGCCGCGCAATCTTCATGGTCCGGGAAAATCAGTGTATAAAGTGACCATCGAGGCGTTTTTTTGTCCAACTGCGTAATCGCTTGCGCCCTGGCAAACCGCTCTGGTATAAAGTGCTTTCCTTTTGGAATCCGTAAAGGGGTTAGAGCGGTGAGTGACTGGCTTGTTGGCGTCAGTACGCACAAATCCCTGGAATGAATCCTTGCCTTAGTTTTGGCTGTATTTTTAGATACAAATTCGAGATTGCACAAAACTAAAACCAGCTGAAATGCTCAAAATTGAAACTGACTTGAAAGGCGGATTTGATCTTTTAATACCTGATAAACTATTGATAAACCCTTTAGTCATTCCTGCATAAAACTTCGTCAAACAATTATCTCACTGTAGCTACATGCCGATAATTTTTTAGTGAGCATTGGTCCTAATTTAGGCCCTTCTTTAAGCAAACCCCGTGAATTGGTGCTCTAAAAGTTCTCTAATTTAATTAATAAACTTGAAAACAATAGTTTTATTCAACTTGCAAGAAGCGTGTTCCTTTTAATGAATGGAAAAGAGATGCGAAATTCTGGCAGCGAACACTTAATAAAGGAAACAACGTTAAAGATATTCAGTTAACGGGCTAAATTCCCTACAATGAAAATTAGCAATACAAAAGGTAATTGATTGCTTTATTATAATTCTCAAATTTAAATTTCGTGTCGAATAGTCGGCCAGGTATTTCAAGAATTAACTTGTTATAGAAATTAGGGATAATTTTTGACGTTCTTTCCAAAAAAACATGGTTCCAAAACGATTGGAGCACGGGATCTATATGAGAAAGCGTGTTGAAAAAGTGAATTTTTGACATCCTACTTTGCGCGCCCTTAAATCAGTCAAAAATTGAAGTGAATTAAAAAACGAAATATGCTATCTTATAGATCTCGTTTCAAGCTTTCAGAATCACTAAAACACTTATAAGCTTCTATGTATAGTTCTCGAGTTATAGAGGTATTCCAAGAATTAACTTGTTATAGAAATTAGATTTAAATCTAACAGAACGTAAATATATCTAAGATTAAATATTTTAGGAAGAAGGCGAGTTCAAAATGGAAACCGATGACCACCAGGATCATCTATTTTGCTGTAAAAGCGATTACTGTAATTCATCAACGATTTCAAGTTCTTTTTTCGTTTACTTTTTCACTTTATTGTGTTTCTTTGCGATTTTGTGATGGATTGTATATTTTTATTTCTTTAAAAAAAGCCAAACAATTCGAGAATTAGGAAAAAATCGTCAAAAATCGTCAAAGAATTATCTTACTACAGCTAGATGCCGATAATTTGGTTTTAGTGAGCATTGGTCCTAATTTAGATCCTTCTTTAAGCAAAACCCGTGAATTGGTTCTCTAAAAGTTCTTTATTCAAATCTTGGTAAAAATTTTGTTAATGAGAAATTCAAAACTCGTGAAGATGTCCAGAATTGGGCCGCCAAGTTTCTCGAGTCACAGCCGGCTGAGTTTTTCAAGAGCGGTATCAATTCTTTGCGCCAAAGATGGCAAGAAGTAATCAATAATAATGGTAAATATATTTTGGATTAAACTGTGTTGTTTCTGCTTTTAAGATAAACGACTAAAACGCTGGTTTATATCCGAACAACCTAATAATTGAGAAATTTTCAGGTAAAAAAGCTTACAACAGTTTACATCTTATTCTTAGCAAAAAAAAACGAAATGCTTCGGCTTTTTGCTTTCTTTTGGTTCTAGTGAGGATTGGTCCTAATTTAGATCCTTCTTTAAGCAAAAACCGTGAATTGGTGCTCTAAAAGTTCTCTAAAAGTTCTCTAAAAGTTCTCTAGAAGCTCGCTATTCAAATCTTGGTAAAAATTTCGATAATCCAAAGTTGGAGAATATTGGAGAATATTTGAAAGTTCAAATTTCCTAAAAGTTTTCTTTCATTGTACTTTATTCTCTATTGTCTTTCTAGCTTTTTCCAAATTCCATCCAGATTTCCCCTAGTATATCTAGCGTTATCATTTTCTTTTTCCCATTTACAACTTACAACCAATCTTTCGGAGCTGTTGTAAAAAACGAAAGCCGCTTGTAAATTTTGGAATCATTCGTGAAAATTTCTGCTTAAATGCTTCTTTTGGTGTTTGTTTTATTGCCAGGTTTTTTTAAAAATTCATTTTTAAATGAACCTTTTTAAGGATTGATATTTGCTGATCGGGAAATTACTTTAACAAACGATTCTGCTTCGTACGTAGCTTATGGAGAGAAACTGTTGAATTATCAGGTTTGTAAATGAAACGAATTTCAACTGAAACAGTGTGATCGCATTTTATAACATTTTATAACAGCATACTACAAAAATAAGCGTCTTTTTGTGTCATCAATAGACGACATCCAACAAAGTTCAAAGAGCTCAATGAGTTTAAATAAAATAAGTATATAAGAATTCAATGGTTAAATATTTTTAAAAAGAAAAAGTTAGACAATTTCATTTGTCGGAATTTGTTTTTGCTGGTAACGCGTTTTCTTATAAATGTCACTTTTCGAAATCTGCCGTAATCTTGTTCTCAGTTTAGCGCTTTATTATAAACGCTTTTTGATATAATTCTGTATCCCTTATGAGCTCTTAATGAATCACAACAAATGTACAGGGTGACCGCAAAGTATAGCCACACCTTTTTGGAAAAGTATCTGGGAAATGTCTAGTTCATTTCAAAAGTGGCAAGTGTTATATAGAGAATTGTAGTCCTAATTCTCGACAACGTTTATCTACCAAAAACTTCTCGATTAGACTTATACAACTCATTCAACAAGTGCTCGAATGAGCACTAGTCTCTGGCGATCTCTCCGGCAATCCGCCATTGCAGTCTTGCTCTAGCTTTCACTCGCCCTAACTATACGCCCTAATTCTAGCGACATTTTTTGGAAAAGTAGCCGAGAAATATCTAATTTATTTCAAAACTGGCAAGTGTTATATAGAGAATTGTAGTCCTAATTCTCGGAAACATTTATCTACCAAAAACTTCTCGATTTGGCTTATTTTACTTATTCGACAAGCGCTTGAATGAGCGCTAGTCGACATCTCCGGCGAATCTGCCATTTGGCCACTTTTCTTTATTCAAAATTGTTAAGAAAAGCTTTTCAATATTTCTTCAATGCAAAAATAGCGTTTAACATCACTTAATAACATTAAGAATCACACTGAATTGTTTTGGCTGAACTAGCATAACCAAAATTTAAGTTGATGTCAAGCTCTTTTTGGAGGATCAGGGGAAAAGGTAAAATTTGAGTATTTTCGATATTTAGTTCATATCCGTATCTCGTTATATCAGCTGTTCAGCTAAATTTGTTGAAAACATTTTTTTGGATAAAATTATCACAAATTTGACTGAAAACAACTTTTCTGAATGTAATTTTTTAATGTAGAAAATGGTGAATAATGGCAGATCGCCGGAGAGATCGCCGGAGACTAGCGCTCATTCAAGCGCTTGTTAAATGAGTTGTATAAGTCTAATCGCAAAGTTTTGGTAGATAAATGTTGCCGAGAGTCAGGGCTATAATTCTCTATATAAGACTTGCCACTTCTAAAATAAATTAGACATTTTCCAGCTAATTTTTCAAAAAGTTGGCACTATAATTAAAGCATATAAATAGTGAAAGCTAGAGCAAGACTGCAGTAGTTTTCGAAAATTAACGCTTTTTAGCAAACACGTTACTATGAGGATCTCAAATCTTCCAGCTAATTCGATAACTTGTTTTCTAGACGCTCACCGTTTCACTCAATTGCACGGATTGCCAAATTTACGTTGAATTCGAGGTCTCCGATGTTAACAACACCATTTTCTCTTTCACTTCGCCAACCAAGAATTACACGCAAGTTTTCAAATTTTAAATCGGTAGTATGACAAATTTGATGTAAAAAATTTCATTTTAGTTATGATCAAGTCACTTCATCAGTTTGGTTTATCATTCCCGGACCGATCAGCTTGCTTACAAGTCTTGGTGTTAATGGAACGACTCCCACTTTCCTTGCTTCATTCCGGTTATGGAACGGCGTGAATGGAGAAAGTTCGTTTAAAAAAAATTTGCTGAAAATTGTAAACCATTCAGCTGATTGGCAGCCAACGAATCTTCAACTAATCCCCGGTCAAAATGGGGCTATGAATACGGTTCGACTCGAGAATGGGATTAGAAGTGTGACGCTGGTGATGGGCAGGGCTAGCTATGCGAATGTGAAACTCTTTGCCCCGACGGTGGGTTTGAAAGGGTTTGAATAGGCCTAAAACCTTGTAAAAGTGTCTTGTAAAATTTTGGAACGCAAGAAACAAATCCACAGGCAATCCACTCACCCAAGGCTGCAAATTTAGAACTCACTAATAACGGAAAAACTGATTCCATTTGTGATTCAACGAAATAACCTTGTGACTGTCACGAGACGACGCTGTGTGTACCGTTCATTTGTCTCGTAGGAAAATTTGCCAACTAGCACACGACCTTCCCTGATAGCGCGACAGACACCTCGAATTCCGATTTAATTACCCAAGTTTGAGGCCATGTCCTGTCTTGAGGACTTGTCAAAAATGTTTTGAAAGATTCTGAAATGCTTCCCAAAGAAAGGAGATGCAGAAATCAACTAAAAATTTGAAATGCGCTGAGGCTTTGTTGCCTTAGGGGGGTAAAGAATTGGGAAAGAAAAGAAAATATTTTAACCTTAATCTCTACAAACTAAGTATTATAATTTCAGGTTTCTCCGAATTGCTCAATTTCCGTTTTGGCCGGTCACATTCCGAGTTATTCAGCCAGAGATCGGCTCAAGATCTATGAATTCACGTAAAACCAATATTTTTACCTTTTAAAACTCCTTTAGAAATGACAACATTCCCATGTATCAATCGAGCTACGTCAGGACATCAGCATTCACTCTTTTGATCCAGGAGAATTGCACGGCCAGGATTATGTACTCTGTTTTAGATAAAGGTAAGAGATTTCCTTGGAATTCTTAAACTACAAGCATTTAGCCACAATCATTGTTGATTCCTATCAACCATCGAATGGGTTCAGCATGAGTTACGAATATTTGGAGCCGTTTGGAGAGACTGAGAATTTCACCGAGTCAATGGGCCACACGGGAATAAGCTTGAATGGTTGAGGCCTTGAATGGTTGAGGCTTTATGGGAATAACCTGGTTGAGGCCTTGAATGGTTGAGGCTTGAATGGTTGAGGCCTTGAATGGTTGAGACTTTGAGCGAGCTGTTTTATAAATGAACATAACTTTAAAGTTACCGTACTTTGCCAGTTTTTTATATTAGGGTAAAACATAAGATCAGAATATAATAAAACATAATATCCTTGGTTTTTTCCTCAACTGAAGACATGTAATTTTTCAGAAACATATCCATTCCTCCCGATTGTGTTCACAGTGAAAGACGCGATGCTAAGCAATGGTGGCTACCTGAACTTCCAAACAACCGATTACTCGGGGAATCAAATGGCTGCTAGCAAGTAAAAAAGCTGTATCAAATAATAAACATGCAACGTAATCCAATCTGATCCACGGACCGGTCCTGTCCAACATCAGACTCGACTGGCTGACGGGGTTGAGCTGAATGGACTGAAAGGACTGATCCACGGACCGGTCCTGTTCAAGATCAGACTGGACTGGCTGACGGGGTTGAGCTGAATGGACTGAAAGGACTGATACACGGACCGGCCCTGTCCAACATCAGACTGGACTGGCTGACGGGGTTGAGCTGAATGGACTGAAAGGACTTTATTTCAATTCAATGGCTGATTGGACTAAGGAATTGATGAACTGACCCATGTCTACTAAACAGTACATGATTCTGTTTTAACTATAAAATCTCAATTAGCATGATCAACTCATTGATCCAGTTTAGTCCAGCCCAGTCCAGCCCAGTCCAGCCCAGTCCAGCCCAGTCCAGCCCAGTCTACAGGGATTCAATAATTACCTGGACTCGGTATTAAGTGTAACTCAACACTCAAATCTGCAATCATTTCACGCTTTGTTTTAATAGAAAATTTAACTATTTTTCTATGGTAGATTCTTAGACAAAAAAAGGACAAAAAAACCTTTTCTGCCTTTTTATAGAACTCTCTTCGTTGGCGGTGAAGAGTTGCTTGGCGCGGCATTTGTTTTTGGCGGCTTTTCATTTCCAGAAAAGATTGAACATATAGCCGTTTACGAAATTCAGCCGCTAACGAATCATTCGTTAACGGCTGAATTTCGTAAACGACTACGACATATATACTAAACTGTCTATCAAGCAATCCATTCAATTTCAAAATTCCAATTCAGCGTGAGCACCTCGATCAGCGGCTACATTTTGGGCGACATGTGGGGACAAACGTTCAAAGTTTGCCGACTTTAATAGCTTTTTTGCAAAACTTTTAGATTATCTGGAATCCTTCAACAACCCAGCAGAAAAAGGGCTACTTGGTTTGGTACATGATAAGAAATGAGACGATGTCAACAACAAGTACGAGTACGGTGCAAAGCAGTATTGGTACGATGACGACGACTACAACTTTGTCGACAACCACAACAACAATGAGAACTGGTTTGTTTCAAAAACCTTCTATAAAACAGCAAAACTTTAAATGCTATTTAATAGACGTTAATTGGGTTAGCCAGTTCTAAGAAAATCGAGGCAGAACGCTCAAGTCAGAGTCAGAAAGCTCAAGTCACATTGTTCTATAATTTAGCTACGGTTTAAGTGACACAATAGTTTAATAGGGTGTAGAAAAATTGTAGCAAAAAGACTCCAAATTTAAGGGAAAGATTAACCTCAAGAATTTGGGCATGGTGAAAACCGAAATCGAAGCCGGAACTGTGTTCAAACTCTACTAAATTTTTCACTATTGCTAAAACTTTCAAATCCTCATAAGCCATTTTCGAGATTGACCTTTAAAGTTTCGGCAAATTTTGCCAAACAGCAAGCTAGCGTATTTTGCCAAACAGCGTCTTTCTGGCAGACCAATCTTGTTGCCTCTGTAGCCTTGGGTTAGGCTTAGGCTCAGGCTTAGACTCAGGCTTAGGCTTAGGCTTAGGCTTAGGCTTAGGCTTAGGCTTAGGCTTAGGCTTAGGCTCAGGCTTAGGCTTAGGCTTAGGCTTAGGCTTAACCGTGTTCAACCTGTAAGTCAGACCAGACCAGAGCCTGACCCTGGCCAGGTTAGGGTCTGGTCGATGGGCCCAGGACAGTCATAGTGGTTTGGTTTGATAGTCGTCAGTCGTTGCTAGCCCAACTTTTTTCCCCTGGTTCGGATCCACTATCGATCAGACTCCATCTTTTTTAGAAAAACACAAAATTACTTTTTTGATCAGTAATTTCTTTTCTTCAGTAATCAGTAATTCTACCAATTAGCGGATTTAGCTGTTATGTTGAAAGTTATGCACCTTCAAAGCTTGAATCCTCATTCAAGACTCGCCCAATATGTACAATAATGTTTTTTTAGCCTCCACATCAAACGTGACCACTCAAACTTCAGCAACTGTCCCTTCTTCAACAAATACAGCAATGACTGTCTCAATCACGATCCCAATTTCTCCAGTTACTTCAAACGAAACAACTCCCACTGCGCTTCCAGTAAACAGTACTTCTGTGGGTTCAACGCTCTCCACAAATCCACAACCTACAACAACAAAGATTGACACGAGAATTTCTTTGATTTATTCATTACTGTTACTTGTTGTGATGAATAAGTTTTCAGGAATTTGATTGCTTGTTGACAAATTGTAGATTCCAATGGAAAAATTGTGAGTCTTTTAAAGATTTTGTTGAATTTTGTATAGATTTTGATGTTATTTCAATTTACAAGCATAAAATGATTTGAGAATTGCATTTAAACAGTTGTAAACTCTGAAAAGCTGAAATTGAATCCACCAGAAAGATTGCGTTTATCTTCTTTTGTGCACTTTAATCGATCACTGAGTTTTGATCTTTTTCAGGCTGCAGGAAGGAAAGGAGAACGCGTAATGATTCCGAAGTGTACAGGGTGCGTCATAATTATTGCAACAAGATACTCAAGGCATTGCACACCAAGAAGTTTCACTGGAAGAAGATTTTTAAACAGAAATAGCTTTATTTAACAGTAACAAATAAGGAAACAAGAGATCATTCGATATGACCGCCTTTTGCCTTGATAACAGCCCTTAATCGGTTCGGATATGTCTCCACTGCGGCCCGAATGTCATCTTGAGGAGTCGCCTTCCATCCTTTGGTCAAAGACTTCTTCAAAGAATCTAAACTTGTGTGTTTTCCTCTAAGATTGCCCAAATGGAAAAGTCCATCACATTGAGATCCGGTGAGTTTGGAGGCCATTCATCCTTGGTGATCACTGAGGGAAAGTTGGCCACACACCAGTCCTGAACCGTCTTCTTCGTGTGAGCGGGAGGCAATTAGGCAAGAATAAAGAAGATAGAACGCAACACAACAAAAAAGGGGGCAAAAAAAATAAGAAAGCTGTTTGGAAAACGGTCTTGTTGACTCTGGAAAACTCTTGTTGCAATAATTATGACGCACCCTGTATAAACAAATCGTTTAGCAGAAAGATTTTACAATTTTACAGAATCTGGCTGAAAGGCTCAGCGAGAATCTGGCAGAAAGCGGCGAGGATTTCCCTGGAAATGGAAAAGTAAATTTCTTGATAACTTAACGTTGCGAAATTTTCTTTTTTTGATAAACAGTTTCAATCTAAAATTTGCCCAATGACAAATTTATCCAAATCTGATTCATCTGGCTGAAATGGAATCATGAAATGAAATGGGATGTTGAAAAAGAATTGCAGTAGACAAAATAAAATCACGCTTTAAATTTGAAATGAATCCGATATTGAGAGCTTCGATTTTTCATTTCGCTCATCACAAATGGTTCAGCGAGTTCTTCTTGCTCTTTTCTGTTTGGCTGTTGGGATTTATGGTAAGTTTTTGAGTCTTTAATGTATTCTTTAATCAAATACCGTATTCTCTCTAATAGTAGTGCGGAATTTGAATCCGTTATTAGTTTTTAAAGAAAATTTATTACTTACCTATATGTCGACAACTTTAGTGAGAATCCGCCCTAATTCGGACCCTCCTTTGAGCTGTATCCGGTTATCGTATTCTCTCTAATAGTAGTGCAACCCGCCGAGCCGAGTTGATGACTATTTTACGGTTTCTAAGTTTTCACAGAAGCTAAACACTCAAATCGCCCCGCAAGATCTCATTGTCAGCTACATTTTCTGACCCTTCATCGATAGGTTCTGATAAGCGCTTCTCGAGATTTCGAGCAATTTAGGTGACGATCAGGGTGCACTACTATTAGAGAGAATACGGTAATGTTATTTTTTATCACATTAAAGTTTAAAGTAAACGTTTTTAAAGTATTCTGAAAAGATTTTTGATTGCTTTCCCTTACAAAACTCTTTTTAGCCGCTAAGTCGTCTAAGAATTTGAGCTTGGATTCGGACAGCGGCGAGGATCTCCCTGGAGATGCTTTGTGCAAGTGAGGCTTTTATCTACTATATATAAAGGGACTATGACGTCTGCCTGTCCGTCGGTCTGTCCGTACGTCTGTCCGTCTGTCTATCCGTACGTATGTCCGTCTGTCTGTCCGTCTGTCTCTCCGTCCGTCTGTCTGTCTGTCTGTCTGGCCGTCTGTCTGTCCGTCCGTCTGTCCGTCTGTCTCTCCGTCCGTCTGTCTGTCTGTCTGTGCGCGCTACTCATCCCCCAGAGGACTATTTGCAATGATTTTTGCGCCGTTGAATAGAGAATTACATGTAGTTGTGCAACGTGCTTTTGGATTTTTTAAAACGCACAATTCGAGTCGCATGGGGAGGTCGACCTCGGATCGGGTTAGGTTAGGTTAGGCGGGTTTCTCGGCTGGTTTTTAGAATAATTCAGCAATGAGAAATAAAATTATTCAATTCTTTATAGGTATTGGAAGAGCGTCAAGGAGGTCAACAACGAGACATTCCCGTTGATTCCCGAAAAGGGACGAGAAAAATTGCGAAAAGATTTGCCGAAAATTCGCAAATACTATTGCTCAGGCAAAACGGTCGATGTGCTCAATGAAGGTAAAGCTTTCTTGAATTTTGAAATAAACAAATTTCAATGAAAATCTTCTAGCGAACTTTTTATACGTTCACAAGCGCCCGTACGTTCAAAAATGCGTCTTTGGTATCAAAAAAAAGCTGAAATTCAGAGCTATTTTTTGATACCTAAGCGCGCATTGTAGCCTAAACCAGTGTCGAGAAACACTCGTTCAAAGCTAAACTACGCAACGCTCCGCACCGTCATTATGGGGCTGGGGTACTATTACAGTATTTACGGCAGCAAATTTCAATGAAAATCTTCTAGCGAACTTTTCATATAAAACTTAAAGCTAAATCTTTGACAGCTTAAATCCTAAAGCTAAAGCTGATCGTTGAAAGATGGCATCAAAGATAAAATTATTCAAAACCTAAGCCCATTCTAGTGATTCCAATTCTCGACCGGTGCAACAAAACGGTTTTGGAGGAAACCTGGAACGTCACCTGTTTCCAGCCAAACTGGCTCGACATGATTGTCGATTGTCGGTCAGTTTTCAAACTTTAAGTGATTTTAAATATTAAATGAACTAAAGAATTGAGCAATGATAACATATGCTTTCAAAATTCAGTGAAGTGGCCGCCTACTTCAATTGCCGGGCCAGCTATGGTGGAGCTGTTTGCGGAGGAGCCAAGGAGATCATCGCTTTCGCCAAATACTTCAACGTTCAGGTGAATAATTTGAAATTAAATTGAGAATGCAGTAAAATAGATCGTTGAGAGGATTGTTATTTTTACTGTAGTGAAATAGGAGATTTTATAGTCAGGAATATTTCGACCTTTGCCGTTGGTAATCCAACTTTGCTCAAATATCTTGGTGTTGAGCTGTTCAATTTAAATAGTTTTTATACCAATTGACAGAGAAAGACTTGGCGCATCCAATGATACCAAGAATATTTAAATTGGACAGCCCAGCACAAAAAAAAAAAAAAAAAAAAAAAAAAAAAAAAAAAAAGGGAAACCCCCCCCCCCAAAAAAAAAAAAAATTTATTATAAAAAACAACAAAACCCCCCACACCCCAAAAAAAAAAACAAAAAAAAAAAAAAAAAAACCCAAAAAAAAAAAAAAAAAAAAACCCCCCAAACCCTTTTAAAAAAAAAAAAAAAAAAAAAAAAAAAAAAAAAAAAAAAAACCTTCCCAAAATAAAAACCAAAAAATTTAAAAAAAAAAAAACAAGATATTTGAGCTCAAAGTTAAATTGACAATGGCAAAAAGGGTAGGGCGCCTATAAAAGGTCCCACAATAGCCCCGTCCCTTTTGTCATTGCCAATCCAACTTTGAACTCAAATATCTTGGTATTAAGCTGTCCAATTTAAATAGTTTTTATACCAATTGACAGAGAAAGACTTGGCGCATCCAATGATACCAAGAATAATCAAATTGGACAGCCCAGCACCAAGATATTTGAGCTCAGTTAGATTGCTAATGGTAAAATGGGCGGGGCACGTACCAAATCTCCGATAACCGGTTCTGGTTTAAGACTGCAGTAAAGCCAGGTTAGATCAATCAAAGATAGAAAACAAACAAGATCTAGCTTCTAGCCTTGGCCTTGCTTGATCTGCACTGAGCCAAAAAGCACTGCACTGGTCCACTAGCTTTTGAAACAATCATAGTATCTTTAGCAGCTGATATTCAGAGTAGAAGAGTGAAAGATGTAGGACTTACCAATAGGCTTATAGGCCAATAGGCCAACAGCTTAGGAAAACTTTTGGAGATTTAAATTTGTTTTCAGTTCTCGTTCCCCAGCGGCGATGTGTGCCGAGATGAGCTAATCTCTGTGATGCAAAAAGTGGAGAAAGTCTGGAGTGAGAAGGAGGAGGAAACACCAAAGCCTTCGAATGGCACTGTCTCTCTCCAACCACCAAAAGCTCTGAAGAAGAAAAACTAAAAGAAAGAAATGCTTTTTTGAGTAAATAAATCTTTCATATTTTGCCAATTATTCCCACTTTTCAATTCATTAGTTACAGAGAACTCGTACATCAAGCTTTGAGTATTTTGTTAGGTTCCAATACGGTTCCAATACGGTTTCTATTTCGATTAAATATGGTTCCAATACGGTTCCTATTTCGATTAAACACGGTTCCAAAACGGTTCCTATTTTGATTAAATATGGTTCCAATACGGTTCCAATACTGTTCCAATACGGTTCCTATTTTGATTAAATATGGCTGTCGTCCCAAAGGCTTCATAGTAGGCTTCATAGTAGGTTGTCATCCCAAAGCTCACCCTTTAATCCTTTACGCCACTTAATTTATCAGCTTTTTGCTCAAATATCCCTAAAACTGATTGCTTTTCAAGGTTTGTTTGATGAAAAAACGAATTTCCATGAACGATTTTCCATTTTACTTTATTTTTCTGACCATAATCTTGTCTCTGTTTAAATACTTTTTGAAATTCAATCGCTTTAAATGCAATCAATTGCGCTGAAAGTTGTCATCAAAGTACTCAAATGAAGCTTTCAATATTTTAAAAGGTATTCTTGAGCTTTTAGTTTTAAATTCGCCAATATTGGTGCTATACGGGTCGGGGCCAAAAGCCTTACATGCCAATTTCACTTTTTGATGCTAATTTTTGTTTCCGGTTATGTTGCACATCATAAAATTCGGGGGTGGGACAAATGCGACCTTTTTTTGCGCACCTGGACATTTGCGCACCTTTTTTTGCTGGAAAAGGTCTTAGGAAAGGCCGTAGAGCTTCGAAAATGTTTTCATAGGAGGGAATCGTATGCGTAGATTCCGAATTTCGACAAATCAGACCTCGCTGACACGTCAAATTTGGGCTAAAAAGCAAAAACTGCGGAAAAGCGTTAAGTTGCGTAGTTTTTGCCTTTTAGCCCAAAATTTGATGTGTCAGCGAAGTTTCTTTTAGGTAACAACATTTGTGAATTAAAATTAACATTATCAACAACGATACAACAGGACAACAATACAACAAGACAACGAAAGTCAGAGGATAACGATCAGGAACAAGTTCCTAGAACTCTTACATCAAGCTTTGAGTATTTTGCTGTCACTTCCACAAGGCTTCATAGTAGGTTGTCGTCCGAAAGCTCACCCTTTAATCCTTTACGCCACTTAATCTGACGCTTAAGCTGGCTCCATAAACCATAAACCAAAATTAGCATAGCATAAGACCTCCCGACGAGAGTATGGGCCACCCGACCCGTACCCGACCCAATCCCAATATTTTCTCGATTTTAGATTATGTAAAGAAGACCGGAGAAACCTGACCGTTTCGGTGGCTATTGGGTAAGCGAGTGCCAAGGAAATCTTCAAAATTGAGAAAATCGAGTGCTAAGGAGAAGAAAAATTTGAAAATCACGCAGGAAAACGTTTTGCCTGATATGACAAAACTCTATTGGACTTTGTTTATTCGGGGAGTTGGACAGCCGCATTAAAGCTGCGCTTTGGGACGACAACCTACTATGAAGCCTTGTGGAAGTGACAGCATAATACTCAAAGCTTGATGTAAGAGTTCTAGGCAATATTCAGCTGGGAAAAAGGATTGTATTCGCGTAAGATTTCGATGATTGCTTTAGATGCCCGGACTTCACGAATGGGCGTGTGATCTCTCACCAAGAAACTCCACCATCATTTGCACAACTCAATCAAACAACTAATTATAGTTTTGAAACAATAAATGAAATTTTATCTCAAATCAAATGTCATATTTAACTATTGTAAAATTCATTTAGTCTAGATAAAAATTATGGGTTTAATAGCAGTTCCAGAAGTGTAGAAGTCGATTTGACATGATAAAGAAAGAGCAACTCACTTTGGAAAAATATTGGGTTGGTGAATTGAGAACTGCGGGACTTTGAGCTAAAATTTATTCAATATAAAACCATGAAAGTCAATAATAATTTCCATTATTATTGACGACTTCTGCCCATTTTACAGGCAATTTGCGGATTCCTCTTTCATAGTAGGATTTTGGTTTGTGTGTGAGACTCAAAAATGGAGGACTGGAGATGTCCCAGTTTGAGCACTTTCAGCAAAAGAAACCCATTCTGGTGTCAATGGAAAAGTTGTAGAGAATCAAAAATTAGGCTTATAGCCAAATTTCCAAAAAGATACACTTAGTAGTTTCGCTTAAAATGCAAGTTTTGTGAAAATTCGTAAATTTGGCATTTCTTGAAAACCAGTTTTTGAATCGTTCTGGAAATCTCGATATAAGCTTAATTTTTGATTCTCTACAACTTTTCCATTGACACCAGAATGGGTTTCTTTTGAAGAAAGTGCTCAAATTGTGACATATGACAATAGCCCGCAGTTTTCAATTCACCAATCCAATGGATTGAGATTGGCCCTGCTTTGGGGAGAAGTCAATGTCCAATTTGAGGATTCGGTGCCGGCCAGATAAGTTTGCTAAGGGGAGCGGGAAGGGGGTTATGTAAAAGCTCTGCGCCAGACGACGAGCGATTACGCAGCCGCGCAAAGAACACACAGAACACAGAAATTTTAAGCGAAACTACTCAGTGCATCTTTTTGGAAATTTGGCTATAAGCTTAATTTTTGATTCTCTACAACATTTCTATTGAGACCAAAATGGGTTTCTTTTGAAGAAAGTGCTCAAATGCTCAAACTAGGACATCTCCAGTCCTCCATTTTTGAGTCTCACACTTGTCTCACACACAAACCAAAATCCTACTACGAAAGAGGAATCCGCAAATTGCCTGTAAAATGGGCAGAAGTCGTCAATAATAATGGAAATTATTATCAAAAATTAATTATCAAAAATTAGGCTTATAGCCAAATTTTTAAAAAGATACACTTAGTAGTTTCGCTTAAAATACCAGTTTTGTGAAAATTCGTAAATTTGGCATTTCTTGAAAACCAGTTTTTGAATCGTTCTGAAAATTTGGATATAAGCTTAATTTTTGATTCTCTACAACTTTTCCATTGACACCAAAGTGGGTTTCTTTTGAAGAAAGTGCTCAAATTGTCACATATGACAATAGCCCGCAGTTTTCAATTCACCAACACAATATAGTTTTGAAAAAATAAATGAAATTTTATCTCAAAACAAATGTCATATTTAACTATTGTAAAATTCATTTAGTCTAGATAAAAATTATGGGTTTAATAGCATTTCCAGAAGTGTAGAAGTCAATTTTACAAGGGAAAGAAAGAGCAAATCACTTTGGAAAAACAGCTCATCAAAAATTAACGGATAATAGAAGTTTCACTTAATAAAACCTCAGTTTTCGAATCTCAAACACCAAGCGTTCTCAATGTTTCCAAATCCTCAGACTGGGCATGTTTTGAACTAAAAATTTGCATATTTTCGCTTTGATCACCAAGAGAACTGCTTTTTTTTGATTATCGGCCAAAATCTTCTCAAAAACATGTCTGTTTTTAAACAAAAACAATGGGATATTCAAATTTTTTGGAACAAAATGATCAACGTTCTATAGAAGGGAAATTTTGGTATAAAAAGACGAAATGGATTCAGGAAAATCATCTTATTTGAAAGTTCACAAGTTGAGCACCGGTTTAATTTACGGTTTAAGTTTTTCGATCTTTACATGAAAAAATTAAAACCTTATTGATGTTTAGGTGCATAAGAAATGTCCGGTAAAGCAGTGGCTTTATTTGCGTTTCTTTTGGCGTCTCCTTTATGGGCTCAAGTGACCCTTCCAATCACTCCACCCACTCTTCCAACAGTTGGCCTTCCCGGCTTGTCTGGCACCTGTGATTGCCCTGTCGTTCCAAACCTAAACGCTCTCGTTTGTGTGCTTGATTGGGGTTAGTTTACTGACTTCATCTTATTGCACAAGAATATCTGGAAAGGATTCGAAAAAATGATGAAATTGTTAGCTTTCTACATGTCGTAGCCGCTTATGAATGAAATTTTGTTGGCAAATCTTTCTAGTAGAGCAACCCTTTAATGTATGAGGACAATATTATATCATCTTGTAGCGAATTGAATTCTGCGTCGATTGATACCAAATTTGTGAGTTTAGGTTGAAAATTGCCGGCGCTACAACGTTTCATTCAAAATCGGCGGGACCCCCGTAGCCGATTATGAATGAGTGGATCTGGGAGCGTCCAACCATCAAGTATTTAGTAGCATTCAACGCAGAATCATTGATAATTATGTTAAATTTTTTAAATTAGCAAGATTTGATGAAAAGGAAAAAAATTAGAGCAAAAAAACTGTTTGTTCAAGAGGAAACTTTGAAGCCCCATAATTTGTGTTCTTTTTATCCAATCTTTCTAATCTCAAAAATTTAACATAATTATCAATGATTCTGCGTTGAATGATACTAAATACTTGATGGTTGGACGCTCCTAGACCCACTCATTCATAATCGACATATGATCTTTCCCCCTTCTGACTAAAAAAACTTTAGTTTCCCATGCCAAAATTCTCAATCATACAAAGAGCTTGATAAATGGGATGATTGTAAACGAATACACGCTTCAACACATTACTATCCTTGATGTAAGTGAAGTGAATGCTATGAGAAGATTGAATACTCAGGGAGCTGTGAACTTGCCAACAGTTTTGATAATCCCGGAAGGACCTTGTGGATTGGAGCTTCAAGTCGGATTGCAATATTTGCTCTCTGGTAACTTGGCTAAAGTTTGCTTTACAATCCGATTTCAGGACTTCTCACTGGTAACTCTCAATTGTACACAACGTTGTGCCTTCAAGTGCTGAACACAGTTGCAAATGACGTGATGACTTTGATCACTCCACTTTGGTCATTGGTGAGGATTTATTCTTAAGGACTGAATGATCAGACTTAGCTAAACTTAGCGAAATTTCTATTATATTGGGTTGGTGAATTGAAAACTGCGGGCTATTGTCATCTGTCACAGTTTGAGCACTTTCTTCAAAAGAAACCCATTTTGCTGTCAATGGAAAAGTTGTAGAGAA